GCATATAGTTACCGAACAATCAAAAACAAATATACAGTACCTGTGCTCTGTATACTGCGTAACACGTCTGATTTATATTGATTAATCGTATATACGCCAACTTGTAAGTATACATAGGATTGCAAACGCGTACATATTTCATAATATGTATGATCCAAAGCTTAATTAAGTACTGCGCAGCATCCGATCTCTGGATGGGCCGAGTCATCAATTGTCATGTCTCATCTTCTCATTTCTCGCCATCTTCTACTTAAATTTGAGGGAAAGAGACGTGATACTTGTTGGATTTTTTCACTCCGTTCGTACGCGATGTCACCTATACACCGGTATAGGTGATGTATACCGATATAAATACTACACGTACATGTGTACCAACAGCAAATTGACAGGCGCGCCCACGGCGGTATAAGCCTACAAATACGGGAATGTCACGCCAAAAGTCGTGCTGTATACATACACTGCACGAGGGACGTGTGTATATAGACACATGTATATGCGTGGACGATCTCTTGCGTAAGCATACCGGTTTCTCTCCAGTAAACACACACCGGTATAAGTGCAGTATATACACATATATGCGTTTCGAGCTCCACTGCTGATGGTGTGTATAGGTACTGCCGATATATATACTGTTTTCTCCTCTGATACATATAATGAAATCCATGGGCTAACTATATATTATACACGTAGGTAAGTTGTAAGGGAGAGAAAGACACTATATAAAAGAAGAGCGAAAGAAAACCGGTCAAAGGAGCCTCTACGGTGTATATGTATATATATATACATATGATATACTTGCATGTATAGGATAACGTGTAAAACGCGGTAAAACGCTTCGACTGCGATGCGCCTCATATTGTTATACCAATGTCAGGCTGATACTTACATATACGAAAGATTTCGCATAAAATTGGTGTATTACTTATTAATACTCAAAAGACTGACTTCAATAATTGTATGGTCAATGGTATTTTATTTGGTGACGGTCGCTCGTATATTTAGTCATGATATCGACTAAGTAGTGTGTTCGTTGTGGTGGTGAAAAAAAAAAAAAAAAAAAAGAGAGAGAGACTTTACGAGTGGGTGTAAGTATTTTATAGTGTTTCCAATTATCAACTATGCTCATGACATATATACACGCGTATTTTTCGTCTCTTTCTAGCATCCCATATTGTTTATTGCGTGAAAATAAAGACCAAGAACGCGTCACGTGGTACATTACATATAGTTTACCGTCTATTTGAAAAAAAAAAAAAAAAAAGAAAAAACAAATAAAATAAAGCGTAAATACACCAGATGCGCTAAATTTAAAATTCTCCCACCCTACACCTGCGTAGCATTGGGAGGAAAAAGCGAGAGAAGAAGAGTCGACCGGTCGCGCCCACACGCGGGATCTTGCGAAATCGGCACAAGAACGTCATCGGGGGAAAAAAAAAAAAAAAAAAAAAAAAACAGAGATGGGTACAGAGGTAGGTATGTGTTTGTTATATAGGTGCTGAATGTATTTACAAACACAACTTACGTATACCCACATGTTATTGAATTCATACGCATTACTTATTACTTTTATATATAGAGGGATGTGGCATGACGAATCATATATTGTTGTATGGCTACCTATACATTTCGTATGCTGCACGACCATTACGCATGACATTCGTATTCGTTTACGTGCATGTAATAACCGTGAATTTAACAAATGGTCGGTATGTATACCTGCGAGTAAAGGAAAATACAACAAAGACGACGACGAAGGAGGACATCATCCACAGCGACTACGACCTCCATTTCGCTGCGACGCGTGGAAAAGAGTTATGTACTAACCACACGACTGTATTTTCAGAAGAACAAAAAAAGGAAATGATGATCGAGGCTCGTTCATGGTATATGATATCGGGCACCTGCGAACATGTACGAATTAGAAGATACGCGCTTCAAAAGCATCAAACGTATACCTATACCTAATTGTGTTTTTTCGTTATTGGCGCGTGTTACTATTATTATTATTATTGTTATTATTATTATTATTGTTATTGGTCGTTTGAAGTTGAAGGAAAAATAATTCTCATTGCCGATTATACGTTTATGTCATCAAGTTCGTAACACCTCAAGTAGATATACGAAATACTTAATTAGCTGGAGTTTACACAAGTAAACGACGACGATGACGACGAAATTATAGCTTCAGGAAGTTCTTTAAAAAGCTCCGTATATGAGCACAACGAAGAATTAAGACCCAGTTGGCTTTTACCTAAATGGTTCGGACGTGTAAGTGTGTGTGTGTGTGTGTGTGTGTGTGTGTAAAAACGCGAGCCTCGCCCTCGCCTTCGTCAGAGGTGCCCCCCTTGTACCGATCGCATTTTCTTATTAAGAAATTAAAGAGCCAGACTTTCATTGCGCATTGCGAGAGAACAACAAATTTTTTTTTTTTTTTTTCTACGACAATTTCATGTAGAAACGAAGCATCGACCGATGTATCGATGTACTGATGATTTGCGGCATTTAAAAACTTTAGAAGCTGGTTTTCCATTCATTAATATAGATATACATAGGGAAGTGATAATATTTTATCGTCGAGTCGGTTTCTTGGGCCGCATCATCGGACTTTTTGGGAGAACCAATAGTCAAAGACATTACAGAGTAAGGAAATAATTGATACGGCAAAACGCTCAGTTATTTTATTTTTTTTTTTTTTTTTTTTCGAGGGACGTTTTTGTTTCCAATTACGATTCCAATTAAAGCAACTCAAGTCATTGCAGCCGATTGATAAATAGTACACCTACTTTCTCGTTGTTTTATTTAACTTGACAAAAAAATAAAGCATTCGTTCTTGCAGATAACACATTAACCGATGTTAAAGTTTGTAGCAACGATCGCTCCATCGGGGTAACAGACGAGCACCACAAGCTAACATCGATATACTCGTATAACTTTTATTTACAATAATCTTAAACGACATACATCTGTTTTTTTTTTTTTTTTTTTTTGTTTTTTTTACACCCCAAATTTCGGTTCAACGGGTGTTTGTGCGTGTAAATGCGAGCACCTGTACATCGACGTGTTCAGTAAACACTGTAGATATACCATCGACCGTTACGATAGCTCAGTGAACCGTATAACGATCACTGCGTGTACTCTCGTCCTCTCTTTGATTCTCCCCCGATGCGCATCTCCTGGAGTTATGTATACTTTGATCAGTTTGCCATCACAAACTCCAGAATTGTACCATTGACGAAAAAAAAATTTCCAAACCAGAGAAAAAGATCGGTAAGGGATCGGTAACAGATTTCAAGGAGTACCTACAGCCATAAGACGACAGTGTGGTGAAACGAGAGCAATAACGTTGCACGCAACGGAGCAACGGTTTTCCGCCCCCCCCCCCCCCCCCCTCTTCTGGAGCATTCGACTCGTCGTGAGAGTGAATTAAATAAAATACTGAACTTATATATGTATACATGCGTGCAAAGAGAGAGAACCAAGAATGAGGGAGAGAGAGAGAGAGAGAGAACGCATATAGGCGTGACACCCGAGAGAGAGAAAGAGAGTCGGGGGAAGTAATGTAAGGTGCAAGGAGTTGTTAATGTTTTGCGTGACGTGTGTACGCGCGCTTACGTATCTATTAAATTATCTTTTGCACAATACGCAATAAGTATACCCTGTACACTTGCAGAGTATTGGCTCTTCAAACTCGATTGCAGGTAAACCAAGGAAAACTAACCGGTAAGCTGCTGCGGAGGGGAGGAGGGGGGAAGTAACCGATACGCTCCGTTCGAAGAACAGTTATCTAATTTAAAAAAAAAATCTACATTCCTTCTCTTCCCCCACTCTCTTTCACGCTTACTTTTTTTCACTCGAAACTGGTTGAAATAAAAAAAATAAAAAAAAACATGAAAAGCTTGTAGTTTTAGTTCAACTTACAATCTGGGTAAGCTTGAGGACACCGGGTATCGTACGAAAATACTCCACGTTCAATCTGAACGGTGACGACGCCGGTCCTCCGGTGCCACGGTTCGCCTCCTGGCCGTTTTGCACCGTCACCGTTACGCTCTCGGACATCATGTCTTTTTTTTTTTTTTTTTTTTTATTACTATTGATGGTGTTGTTGGTTGTTTGATTATTCCAACACACCAGAAACCCACAAAACAATTTATGTATATACTTTTACGTATTAAATGAAACGCAACAACACTCGCGAATCCACTATTTCGCAACGAAAAAAAACTCCAAACGAGGATCACTGACGTACTAAGAAAGCGATTATGAATAACTATAAGCGAGTCTCGTGGTGATAATCGCTGTGGTGTGTGTTTAATGAATTACAACGCGTATACGTATAGGTACAATAAAGTTATGAGTGAGCGATTGTGTAAGTAGGCACTTGCGTGGTTCGTGGGCCGAGACACGCGACAAACTGAAAACGCGCGGTGACGGACGGAGACAGAGCCGCAAACACCGAGTAGAGCCTCTCTCGTGGAGCGACCGCCGGTTCCCCACCCGTGTGTGCGGGACACTCATCGTATCATCAACGGCTGCGATACCGATATCCATGCTTACTATACATGTGCCAACTATAGACAACGTTGTGTATGTACGTGCCTTTGTTGATTTTACAATGGCACTGTTGCAAATATATGTTACCATCATTCTCATCCTCACTTGATTCCCTATATTTTTATATGAAAGCGGTGTACGTGTGTGGACGCGTATTCGATACTTTACCCATCTATATTATTATTTTTATTTTTATTTTATTTTTTTTTTTTCTGTTAATCGTATGATACAATTAAGGTAAACATTGTGGGATTTACAAGATTATGTCCTTGAATCATCTTGCGAGCGTGCGCCACTATTTTTGATTCACGCAGATTTGAATTTGGCGCCCTTTGCGTCATGCGTAACGAAACGAAAAATCCCTAGAGCTTCGATCTAGGGGAAAGGTAACCAACAACCACGAAAATCCCCTACTCAAGTAGCAGCAGAAGCGATTGTGTGGCGAGTCGTAGTGACAAGCATTTTCGAGAGTACCATTAAGTATAATATACACATCACCTACTTGTGTTTAAAAGTACCGCAATACATTTACAATCCCACAAAAACTTTCATGATTACAGCATAAATAACGAAATATCTGCATTCTTTCAGCCAACTTCTCAAAGGGTGGGCTCAACCACACATCCGCAAAGCCATTCTTGAATCGGCTAATTGGGAAGATTCAAAATGACGCTTATTAACAAGGTAATAAACATCAATTCTAACCTATTGCCCTTCATTGCAATCACAGCCCACATCACATTTTTTCTACGTACTCTATCGTTTTTCTTACTTTCAGATGGAAATTGATGAAAAAAACGCAAAGGGCGAGGGCTTCAAGCCATATTACATTCAAAAGATCGAGGAGCTGCAGCTCATCGTAACTGAAAAGAGCCAGAATCTTCGTCGTTTGCAAGCTCAGCGTAATGAACTCAATGCCAAAGGTATATGACGCTTTCAAAGTTACTTATTCACGAGTACTTGGTATTGATTAAACACGATATTAAGTCGGTGCATGTAATTTTAGTACGTATGCTGCGTGAGGAGCTCCAACTTCTCCAGGAGCAAGGTTCTTATGTTGGAGAAGTTGTCAAACCAATGGACAAAAAAAAGGTCCTGGTCAAGGTTCATCCAGAAGGAAAATTTGTCGTCGATCTGGACAAAAACATTGATATAAATGACGTGACTCCCAATTCAAGAGTGGCCTTGAGAAACGAAAGCTACACACTCCACAAAATCCTGCCCAACAAAGTTGATCCTCTTGTTTCACTTATGATGGTGGAGAAGGTTCCAGACTCAACTTATGAAATGGTTGGTGGTCTTGACAAGCAGATTAAAGAAATCAAAGAAGTCATAGAGCTGCCAGTTAAGCATCCAGAGCTCTTTGATGCTCTTGGTATTGCACAGCCCAAGGGGGTATTGTTGTATGGTCCACCCGGTACTGGAAAGACTCTACTGGCTAGAGCTGTGGCACATCATACAGAATGTACATTCATTAGGGTTTCTGGTTCCGAACTTGTCCAGAAGTTCATTGGGGAGGGATCACGTATGGTCAGGGAACTCTTTGTTATGGCTAGAGAACACGCACCATCTATTATTTTTATGGATGAGATTGATTCTATTGGTAGCTCTCGTATCGAATCTGGATCGGGTGGAGACAGCGAAGTACGTATTTATTACCAAATTGGTATTTGTTGAATAATATTTAAAAATTTTATCTAAATCTGCGTTCGTTTGTTAGGTTCAACGTACAATGTTGGAACTTCTTAATCAACTGGACGGATTTGAAGCCACGAAAAATATCAAAGTTATCATGGCAACCAACAGAATCGACATTCTCGATCCCGCGCTCTTGCGTCCGGGTCGTATCGATCGTAAAATTGAGTTCCCACCACCAAATGAGGAAGCGCGTCTTGATATTCTAAAAATTCACTCGAGAAAAATGAATTTAACACGTGGTATCAATTTGAGAAAAATAGCAGAGCTCATGCCTGGTGCTTCTGGAGCAGAAGTGAAGGTAACGTAAAATTGTAGAATCCGCTACGCTTACGTTATTATCAACATTTACCATTTTTCTTTTTTCTTTTACAGGGTGTGTGCACCGAGGCTGGTATGTATGCTTTGAGAGAGCGCAGAGTTCACGTAACACAAGAAGATTTTGAAATGGCTGTTGCTAAAGTCATGCAAAAGGATTCGGAGAAGAATATGTCTATCAAAAAATTGTGGAAGTAAATGAGTATTTCAAGTCCATGCTATTTTGTTAATCGGAATTTAAAATGTAACACATGTAAAAAAAAAAAAAAAAAAAAAAAACAACAACAACAAACCATTTGAACTTGTATCGAATTATACTTAATAGCAATGACTGTTTGTTATGATGACTTTTTAGGTAAACATTAATTTTATATGCGTAAGAATAAAAGTATTTGATAACTTAATTTTGTTTCATTCAACTGCAGAGTTTATCACTGCTTCGTTTGGTTTTTACGATCAACTGGCTGTACTCAATTGTCAGAGTAAAAAATCCATAATTAGATCAATCAATCATGGGAGCTTCGGAAAATCGGAGAGAAAAAAAAACCCACATAGATACACGGCGGTAATTTACCCGCACGTATAAGAGTAAAAGAGATGAAACGATATTACATTTTGCAAATGGCTGGCGAGAGAGAGTTCGCTACTATTGGAGTGCAGGAGGCAGGACGGCAGGAGGAGGTTATTACTACTGTTGTAGATATGTAATAGCTGACGAGAGTAACGTAGATAGGGTGTATGTGTCACCGTAGTCATCAGTTTCGACTGTTTCGAGGCTCTATACATGCATCAAATCGTCGTAAAATCCGAGTAATCTGCGCGATAATAATCGTGGCGTTCGCGCAAAACTTGTGTGTCCGCATCCGCATACTTATTAAGTACTTGGGTGTTGTGCGTTGTTTGGTGCCGATGATGGATTCAGAATTCAACGAGAAGCCGGCTTGTTGTAATAATACTTGAGTGATGCGCGCGCGCGCGTCCGCTCGCAAGTGACGGACGTTGTTTTCCTGGTCTCGGCGCTGCGTCATCGGCATCATCAGCGAGAGCAAAGTGTGTCTATATTAGGGTAGCTGCAAACTCGTCAGGTTGATGTGTAGTGTGTGGCGACATTGGGAAAGCTAGGGGTAGAGTGAGCGCCGACGTTGTTGTTGTCCACTAGGGCGCAGGAGGAAGGGGACCCGGGACGCCTACGGTACAATGTCGGGCTATCGGCGCGTCAACTACTACGAGCTCTGCCGGCTCTGCACGAGCAGCGAGGGCGACAAACTCGACATCTTCCTCGAGGAGGGCCGCAGGCGCCAACTTCAGAACAAAATACAAACCTACCTGCCCATACAGGTCAGCTGTTTTTGCTTTGTTTGGGATAGTTATGATTAGTCATCTGTTTTAATTGATTGAACATTGGTAACATCTAAGATAATATCAATGGAAACTGTGTGTTTTCTTACGAGCAATTAGTAATTCATGAGCTATGAGATAATTATTGATGTCAAACCGTCTTAAATAACATTTCGAGCTTGAGTACATTCAATCTTGGTCTTTTTTTCAGGTAGCAGAGGAAGACTCATTACCAAAAATAGTTTGTCTCGAGTGTGTAAGGAAGTTGGAAAGCTTTATTGAGTTCAGGGAATCAGTGAGAGCTGCAGAAGGTATGCTGGAGTCGTATTTCACTTCCATCAGATTTTCCGAAGATTTCTTGAAAGAGGGAAAGGTCTATGTAAAAAGTACTGTCAAAGAAGAAAAGCCAGTAATTATAGAAGAAACTCAGGTTGACGATGATCCCTTGGCTAATGTTGTTGAAAAAATAGTAGTTCCACCAACAACGACAAGCGCCCAAATTATAACAGATCAAACTCAGCAATCACAGCCTCAGCCAGTACTTGTGAGCAGCATCAATGCTGCAAATCTACAAATCATAAGCGGGGTCCAATCGAGAGTTCAGCAATACAAATGTGCAATGCAGGTTGTTGATTGCTTCATAAGAAATTATAAGAAATTTATTTTGGTGGGGGAAATATTTGTTCAAAGATACTTTTTTTTTTTGTTTTAGATGCAGTCTGGTAATGTAGCAGCAGCTGTTGTTGAGGCGACAGCTGAAACTCATTACAGTTATCAGCAGCAGACATCTCAACAAATACCCACCCAACAGAATCAAACGCAAAATCAAATAGTGGAGCAGCAGCAGCAGCAGCAGCCACAATCCCAGTCGACGCAAATTCAAGTGCAAAATCAAATGCAGAGCCAAAATCAAATAGCACAGCAGCAGGTACAAACAGTACAAACGCTGAGGCAGCTGTCCCAGCAGCCATCATCTCAAGCTAGTCAAGTAAGCCAGCAGCAACAGCAAGTTCAAGTGAATCAAGAGCAACAGAGCCAGTCTCAAATAACTCAACAGCTGCAGCAGTTACAACGACAACAACGCGAGCAATTTGAAAAACAGAGGCACTTGCACCACATAGAGAAACAGCAGCAACAACAGCAGCAGCAACAGCAGCAGCAGCAGCAGCAACAACAACAAACTCAGCACATTCACATTACAACTGCCCCAGAACCACAGCCGCAAGTCGAGGTGCACCGCAACATTATCCTCAAAACTGAGGATGTTCATGAGCAAAATATGCAAGTAGAGATGCAAAAAAATGAAGCAGTTGTGGTAAGCCAACACAATCAGCCGACATTTACCACGGTTCAGGCATCGCCCGAAGTCTTTTTGAGCCTTGGCTTTAAAGACGCGCTAGCGACACAAGTAGCCACGCAAATCGTGACGCGTGATGATGCAAAAGACCTCAAAGACTTTGTTAAAACAACGGAGGACGCAATGTCACGTTCCTCCATCAACCATATTTCCGAGTTCCTGAGAATTCGCACTACACCAGAACAGCAAACCTCATTACTTACAGTCAACCCTCAAGCGATATCACAGGCTACCCACCGACAGTACGTCTGCTGCGACTGTGGCAAAACCTTTCCAACGATCAGTCAAATGAACGACCACGACTGCACAACGTCATTACTTACAGAGGTATTTTAAATTATTATAATACATTACTTTCGTTGATCGTACAAGTTGACCGTTGATTTAATACTGTTTTGCTAATTAATTACAGCAAGTACGAGAGATGACTGATGTCAAGGAAGAGGAACCAACGACGCAAATGGTGAACGGTGCTGCTGACGTCCACATGGCCGATGCAGGAAACACTTCGAGTAGTACAAACAACGGCAACGTGGGCAACAACTCCAGCGTGGGTCCGTTTAGCTGTGACATTTGCAACAAGCCATTTAAACGAAAAGAGCATCTTTTCCAGCATCGCAAGCTACACACTGGCGAGCGACCCTATGTTTGCACCTCGTGCGCCAAAGCTTTTAGTCGCAAAGAACACCTCGTACGACATTTGGTCTCTCATACCGGACAAAAGATGCACGAGTGCGAAACCTGCGGCAAAACTTTCTCGCGCAAGGATAATTTGCACAAGCACCGCAAGACTCACGGAATGGCAGGGCCGTACATCTGCGATCACTGTGGCAAATCCTTTGTCGTCAAGCATTACTATCTCATGCATCTGACCACTCATGCACCTGTTGCTACGGACGGTCTCAATTGCGCTCAAGACGCGTTACCCTACAAGTGTGACATTTGCCACAAGGCTTTCTCCGTCAAGCAGTACCTAACTACGCACAAGCTTAGGCACCGGTCCAAAGGTAGCAGTAGCGCCAGTAGCAGCAGCAGCAGCAACAACAACAATAATAATACTGGCACCACCAACGCGCAAAGTAACAACACAGGCCAACAGCAGCAGGTGCAACAGCAGGTGAGCTCGACGAGCGAGCTGACGGTCACGCGGGATATCACCAGTGTGAGTATGAGCAACGGTACGACAACACATCCAACGAATGGATCTGTCATTGAGATCCAGGGTGTCGTTGAACGAGCTGAACCTCAGCAGCAATCTGATACTTTTGTCGGTAATCACTATCAGGGCAACGTGGCGCAGTTTCAATGAGATAAGGGGAAGCGTGTCTACTACGTTCTCTTGCCAAATGGAAACAACCATAAGATCGTTGTTGTTTAAATGGCTTGAAAAACGCGGACACGCTTCCGAAACTGACAAATTTTGACTCTATATCACAAGTAACATTTTTTTAATGGTGTTTTTCTCTCTATTCATTCCCCCGATATTTGTAAATTTTTTTTTTTTTTTACATTGCCTAAATGTTTAAGAAATTTTGGCGAGCAATTATAACGTGTAAGTCGTAATACATTTAAGAGTCTTTTATGGCCGGTAAAGATAAGCAAGGAATATAAAAATTGTATAAGCGATGATATAGATTGCTATGATAGGGTATCGATTTATATGTTTTATAACTAATTTTAGCTAGAGGTGAGTAGCTATAGATCAGCCATATTAGTTATGAATCTTAATCTAATAATCTCGAATGAAATTCTCCGGCCTCAAAAAAAAAGATAATAATAATTTTCTCCAAAATAGTGAGAATATGTGCAAATATCGAGTAATCGATGATTTTCTTAACAATTATAATTTTACTTTAAATCGAAAATAGTTTTGAAATTGCCATACCTAAATTTTCAATTTTTTAGATTATTTTAGCAGAGAAAAATATCGATATTTCATAGAAAAAATTATATACTATTTAGCATAAGAAATGAGAGAAACATTTATTAAATTGTCGATTTTTAGTGTCTTAAGGGAATTCTATGCATAGGTATGAAAGAGTACGTATATATATATTATGTATATTTTAAAAAATCTGTATCATAAATGCGTGTTACAAAAACCGAGATTAGAATTTACAAATTTCCTACAGCAGTTATAAGGAAATAATTTACTAAAACTGATGACAAGCATTGCTTTTTCTATCTGTAGTAAAATCGATGCAAAATTTGTTTATACTAAGCCACAAATAATGTACATCATAAAAGTACATTTTTACAGGATAAATATAGAAAAAAAGTTTAATAAAAAAGTAAAATTTATTTTAATAACAAAACTTTAAAGCAAAAAGTAAAATAAAAAATGTACATTTCGTTTGAATCCAACTTGGTATAAACAATTCTGCATCGTCATCTAACGAAGCTGGTGCCATGTCATTTTGTAATATACTTTTCCACTAAGCTGAGATGTAACAAAACGTCAACAATTACGTTTACGTTTTCTTTTCTCTATCAATAGCCAAAAGTCATTTGGATACGTTTTTTTGACATTCGATTAGAATCAATCGTCTTTTTATATCAGTAATTCGTTAAAAAGTTTTAGCAAACAGTTTGCAAAATCATTTTTTCAACAAAATGAACAAATAAATAAAAATCCACTTTCATTCAGCAAAGTATTACTTTGCACCTGGATACATAATGACCAAGTAAATTTTGGGCTTGTAAGCGGGTCTCTCCCACGCGTATTTGTGCAAATTTACGTGCACGCGTCTGGTGCACGTATAGTTACACTAATTAGTATATAATAATTAATTTACGATAAGTATAAGTATGACTTCATTTCATCTGCGATATCAAAATGAGAGAAAAATTAATAGATAAAATATAAATGTACGGGGTGTAAGCGAGCTCAGTGGTGATGAATCATAATAATTTATGTCGAAATTTAAAGACAGAACAAATGCACGTTTAGGCCGATATTTCAAAAAGATACAAAAAAATGTCGGGATTTGTATTGTACTTGGTTTATGTATTTAAAAAAAAATAATTTAATTTTTATAGCTTTACAATTTTTTCACGCAGTTCACATAACTTAAAATTTTTTAATGTACAGATAAAGCCGCGTAATTTTGTAATTAATGTCATAAAAGATAATGACATTTTCATGCAAACGAAAACAATTGCGAACATTGAAGTATTCAATTTTTCAATTGCATTCCAGGATAAGAATGCAAGAAAAAACGGTAACATGTTCCCTGCATTATGGAAAAATTAGGTGGAGCAAAATGATGTTTTTGTTTGAGCAATAATTCGTAGTTATTGTATTCGCGCATTATGTATTAATTTTTACATTAGACATGACTGTTAGCAGATTAACTTTGATTATTAAACGGCTGTGGAATGAAAAAAAAAAATAACAAAAATAACTTGTGGAATTAATTCTGACAAAAAATGTAACTACAGCTACAAAATTCTACTTTCGACTTTGAACTATACAACCGCCGTTTGAAAATCAATTTTCTTCAAAATTTAAAGTAAAGAATAGCATTAAATTTACATATTTGTGTAAATTATTATAAGACCAAAGATTAAAACGTAATGTGTAATATATTACTATAGTCATTAAACAGTAAAATGGATATAATTATACATAAGTCTTTTAATAATTCACCTATCCCTAATGATAAATTACACTTGTAAATAAATGAAACATTGCATAAAGTCGTAAAGCCTTTATTATAATTGTTAAATTAGTAAAATTAGTTGAATTAACAAATTATACATAATGTAACAAATAATATTACTCTATTATGAAAACTATTTTCAGTTATGTTAATTTTTACGATGGTATTCGCTGACGAACTTAAAGACTAGCCTGTTTGAAGAATATGTTGATACAAAGGGGCGAGACTTTTTTTTCATTAATAATATTTAATTTCCTAATAACGAATCATAAAGAAAGATACGTCGTTGATAGGATAACAATGAGTAACACAATTTACGCATATTTGTGCGTATAATAATCAATTCAAGTAAAAACACATTAGGCACTGACAGGAAAAATGTTGCGAAGCGCGATTTTTTCTAAACTCAGGTAAAGTAGGCTTCAAAATTTTTTGACTTTTTATAGATTTAGCACTGACAGGAGATAAATTTTGAAAGTCGTATCTACTTTTAATTACATTCTTAGTCTGAATCAATCGATTATGAATTCAAATTTCTTAAAGGTATGTATTAAAACTTATCTATCTGTTATATACATGTCTGTATACATATAAAATGTATATTTTACAAAACAAAAATTTACTTTACCGTTTAGAATAACAGCATAAATAATACTTATTAGATCGGTAATAACTTGATAACTACTATCGACATCAATATGAGTCTTTTTTTTTCTTTTTTTTTTTTACAACCGCTTTGTTTTGTGGTAATGACGTTAGTACTTCCATGTGTAAGGAAAAACTTATTTCAAATCCATACATATCACAATCCAACAGACCTAGAAAAGTAAAAATAATGAAAAATTTTTAATCAAATATTTGCAATAACATTTTTCAGTTCAATTATTTTAATACCATTCGTAATCTTCTAATCATTCCATTCATCGTCATTATCACTAAAGTCACTTGAATCTTCACTCTCACTGTACATTACTCTTGAGCGTTCGGCCAGTGCCCTGGTGAGCGCTGCAGCCAATCCGCCTTCCGCTAAATTTGGCGTAGCACTGTTGGGTCTTGGTTCATTCGCAACTGGTTTCAATGTAATTCCTTGACGAATTTCATCCAACAGGTTATTTCTTGGATTCGACGTAGTGGGCGATTTCGTTTCATCCCTATTTACTTTCTACACAAGTCAAGTTCAAATACATTTAGTTTAATCATCACTTTTTGGGGGGAGAGTACAACTATTGTGGCGTCATATGTGCATATATTATGTGTAGTCAATCAGAACGTGGACCACAGTATTTAATATAATTATTTCATACTTACTTTAAGAGAAATTCCGGATCTTATGGACTCCATAAGCATAGATCTTGGATCTGGACTACCATACTTATTATCGTTACTGTTGTCCATGTCTCCTTGATTACTTGCTAGATTGGGCATTGGTGGGGGAGGTGGATTATTTACAACAGCTTTTGGAGGTTCTTCTGGCATTGGCGGTGGGGGCGGAGGAGGCGGTAACGTGGGCGCACAAGCAGCAGCTGCTGCTGGAGGAGGAGGCGGCCTTGATGGAAGTGTTCTGTGCACTGGAGGCGCACTTGGAGGCGCTGGGGGAAGCTGACTTTGAGTTTGAATTGGCGGTAATGGTGGAGCTTTCCTTTGATGACTCTGTAAAAGGAATCATAATTTTCAGATCAGAGCTTAAACGTGATTAAAATTCTCAACACGGCGGAAAAACTTGCATTATTTGAATATGTATTTGTGCTGGGTAGTAGTGTTCTTGCTGGTACAGGTGGTGGCGGTTCTGATTTTGGCTGAGGTTTTGGCACTTCTTGTTGATGTACAATTGTTGAGGATGGTACTATTTCTTTTTTGACAGCACTCATTCCACCGTGACTCTCAATAAAACCGTAAATAAATTCTCGCGTTTCTTTGTTATTTAAATGGTTCTCTGAAACTCCTATTTTTTCAAAAAATGCTTTTAATTCTGGTTCCATTACCCGGCAATCATTCAAATCAGTCCCGACGTGTTCAACATGCCTAAAATAATATCAATACAATCAGTGCGTAGTTACATGAGCTAGGTTTAAATGTAAAGGGATAATTGTAATACCTAAAATCGAATGGTAATCCAATATCATTTGTAGTTAATTTCTTTTTTTCATCGTGACTCTTTTTTTTCTTTTTATTTTTACCTATAGAAATGTTTGTTAGGCTTCTGTTGACATTCATAGACAGGGGCGAGCCATTTGACAAATTATTAGGCATATTTGGAGTCAAACCCAGAGAAGGTGTGCTAATACTTTGGTTTTTAATTTGATCTCCTAGTCCCCTTTGATTTCCCATTTCCATCCTTGAAAGCTTTTCGTTTCTACGTCTGGCTGTATTATTTAGTTTTTCAAGAAGAATATTCCTATAAAGACATTACATTTTTGCTTTGAAAAACACATTTTTTTCAAGTCAAGTATTAACGGATTATTTTTTCCTCACCTCAAGACAAAAGCATCGGTTTCACTGGCAAAATTAAATGCAGCCATATAGTCTTCTGCTTCAAAAGTATGGAAATATGCTTCTGGAGCCTGATAATCCATTGAATTATAAATTTCATGCTCCCACAGCATGGCTTTCCGTTGAATGCAATATAGCCTCAGAAAAAAACTGCGTTTAAAAGGGTCTTTTATCAAAGTAATTATTCCTGTATTCTTTTTAATCCACTCATGATGTCTGGGGGATTCCGTCATGTATAATTGAATTATACCTGCAGCAAGGCACTGTAAAATTTCAAACAATTAATTTTTTACATTATGATGATACTGTATATTACTAATATTAATAACGATTCGATAAAATAGAGCTTAAAATAGTTGAAAAATCAAAACTAATGATTCAATAGCTGTGACTCATAAAACGTTATCTATTTCATTGATGATTACTGTGTGTATATTAATATTATTATTCATGAGATTACTAGAGACCCTAACATAAAATGTAAATCACCCAGCCCATTCGTCTTATCTATATAATTGATACTCCACAATCCTAGTTGGTATGAATGTTTACAAAATAAACAGCAGCAACAGAAATAGAATGAAACAGAGAACACATGAGAGAAAAAACATATACTATGCAGGTCAAGCTCGAAAATTGGAGAAGAAAAAAAAGATAAGTTGTACTAAGTCGAGGAAATCACGTAAGCCTTGAAAAAAAATATCGCGATGACGAAACCAAGGTATCAAAAGTAGGTGCCTATAGATCAGAAACGTCAAAAGCAACAATATAACTCACCTGACAGCGATTGCCGATCAATCGAAAGATCTGCTCGTTCTCCTCGGGTTTGAGAAGAACGGAGCCCCGGTGCTCGGTGACGCTGCCCGACTTCATCCTCCCTATTATAATAACTTACTGCTGTAACTATCACACTTCACTTGGTCGACGTCGTTGTCGTCATCGTCATCTTGAGTCAGACGTGAGCTTGGTGAGTTACTGAAGGAGTAATGAGGGTTAGGTTGGTGACAACCATGTCGTCATCGGCTGGAAGCTCCAGCTTGGAACTGTTGACCTGGCGCGGCCGCAATAATTAATTATTATTAACAGCCGTGAGATCCAACACAAAACAGCACGAACGTCGAGGATCACCGGACCGCGGTACTGCGTGAATGTCAATACGTCACGTCAACGTCATCTGCGTGGTAGAGAGGGCAATAAGTATAGGAACCTAGGTATGTTTTGGAGACGTTTGCTATTTAACAATTGTGCCTCCTGTTTTTGCAAGAGAGAATATTTGTGTATATATATATATATATCTTTTTCTCTCTCTCTCTCTCTCTCTCTTTTCCTATAGTCTCTTCCACACTGTATATAAATTTGTCTGCTGTGAGCTCTGAACACTGCTGCTAATACAGTGTATACCCGTACGCAGTACCAACTGTATAGCCAATGCCTCAACTAAGATAATTTATTATTCGTAAACGAATTCCCTGATTAATTTTTATAAACTTTTATTCGTATACTTACAATACGAGAGATACTTTTTCAAAACTTGTTTATGAGCATGTTTACGTTTTATGTTGCTTAAAGGGATGGTTTAAGTTTACAATGTTGGTTAAAATGATTTTTGAGACATGCACCTGCTGCAGCTTCACGCGGTTCTAGCAGTAGATTTCAAGTGCAACATTTTGCTCTAAATTTAAAAGTTTGCATGTTCAATTTACCTATATATATGTGTATATATATCATATAGATGTGTCACACACCTTCGGTTTATGTGTACGCGTGTGTATTGTTACTTTTCTCCCTTCAGCATTTGTTGACAGCTCGTTGACAGTTGACATTTCATGATTTCATCGCTGCACGTAGGAATACTTAGTGGTCGTGTCGTAATTTTTACATCGAATGTTGCGTTAACCATCCACGTTGTCAGTTTGTCTTGAAAGTTTGGTAAAAGAGTGAGAGGTTCAAGAAGAGGGTGAAGAAAAATAACTTATGTTATTGAAAGTATAGTTAAAAACAAAAAATTTGTGTAAATCACATATTTGATATTGTGAGAGATTTTCAAAATGAAACGTGCCAAACCGGAGTCGTCGTCACCCTGCAACAAAGAACTTTTACATTCTAACCCAAAACGCTTGAAATATCTTGCTCAAGAAGAAGATTACAACTATAATTTGCTCAACTTGTCTGATGATGTGTTACTCAATATTTTCAAATACCTGTCGTCGTTTGATTTGCTGTCTTTGCACTTGTAAGTTCTGTTGTTAAACAAATAGATTATCAACAGTGCACCATTTGTTTTGTATCATAATTTTCTTCTTTTTTTCAGGTGCTGTTTGAGATTGTGTGATTTGTGCCGTGACAGAACGTTGTGGAAAAGTATAGACTTGCGTGGCAAGCACTTGCCTTTTGATGAATTGAAAGAATACGTCAAGTTTTTGCAGCCTGTAACAAAGTTCCTAGCACTTCGTGGCAATAAAAGAAAAAATGAACTTCCAGAACTTATGTTGAGTTTTTTAAAAATAATCAACAAAAAATGTACCCAGCTGGAGGACTTTATTCTTGAGGAATATAGCATATCTAGAGAAAAAGTAATGTAATAATTTTTTTTCAATTCAACCCTGATAATTGAATATTATTGTAATGTATCCATTTATTGATATTAGATTCAAATAACAAATTTTCCTACGACACTTAAGAAGTTATCTCTGCAAAGTTCTCAACTTTTAAAAGGAAATATTGTTCAAGTAGAAAAATCATATCTTTACAAAATAGATGACCACATGCCGAATTTAACAGTAAGATTGAATTACATCTTGTACATAACGTTTTTAAGTTTTTCATACAAAGAAAATATATCTTCTACAGACTTTGATCTTGACAAATTGTGACTGGCTTAATTCACATTCATTCATAGCAATCAGTAAAATCCGAAATTTGAAAGAAGTACGATTAAATTCTTGTCATGGATTAGATGAAGAAATAGCATATGCAAGTCTTGCATGTAGATATGGACTAAAATCATTGGAGGTATTTATGACTGAATTTTTCTTTTTTTTGAAAATTCTTACAACACACGCAATAAACATTAATTTATACTTCCTTAACAGCTGTTAGATTTACGAGATACATTTGTTGGGGATAGTGTTATCAGCAGTTTCAGTCACACATCAACTTTAACTGAAATGTATCTTGAATGTCCAGGTGATGAAACAGCACCACACCCACCTAATGATAATCTTCAACTAATAGAGCAAAATCCTGAACATAGATACATAGTTTTTCAAGATAATCAAATAGCTGTTGGTTGATATTTTTCGCAATTGCTTTCATCATAGCCAACTGTTTAAACAAATATTTTACATCAGATGAATAATTTTATAATTACAGATGGTCAATGAAAATGAATACAATCATTTATTTCGTAACATCGTGAATAATGCCGATAGATTTCAAGTTTCCGACCGATCTCTGTGCACTTTAGGTTTATGTAGTAACGAAAACAATGAAGAGATTATTAATTTGCGTGAAGAAGTTCAGCTGGTTCAAGGCAGAGCTCGCACTTTAACTAATCCAAAACTTAAGAAATTAGTCGTTAGGTGAATATATTACTGTTTTTTTAATATGATGATTTTACTAAGTGATTATAACAAGCTACTTTAACGAAATTTTAGAAATTATGCTGGGGTAACAAATCAAACTCTTCTTCATTTTACTGTGAACGGTCGGGAATTAAAATATCTCGACGTTACTGGTACTTCTGTGACAAAGGAGGGACTACAAAATTTCAAACTCCAACGGCCTGATGTTACTATTATTTCGTCTTTTGAGGAAATATAATTGTAAGTTTTATTCATAATATAGTTGTACCTATAATGAATACATTATTACTAGTATGAAATAAGTATTGATTATTAATAAAAAATGAAATAAAAAAAATCTATATCATATGTACTCATGTAATCGTGAAGTACTTTTTAAATTTTATTAAATTTTTAGATATTGTTTAAAAAAGACTGTACTAGACTTTTTAAATAATAGGCAAATCGTGAGGTGTATACTAAAATATTTGTATCATATCATTACTATTCTGTAAGTTATAAATAAAGACAACATGTTTGTCTCTGAGTCTCATTTTCATATGTTCTGCATCTTTTTTTTATAATGATTGTTAGCTCCACCATGCTTTATTAAAAGCCTGAACTGTTTTCATCGCATCTTGCATGAGTATAATAGTAAAATATTTTTAAGAATACTTACCAAATGAACTAAGGTTTTTTGATTAATTGATATTTACACATGATTTCATACGGTACAAATAAAGGATAATTATTATTAAGATTACAAAATAAATTGTACAATTTTTTTCAATTATTCATTTATTTTCCTTAATCAAATAATCGCAAATAATTCAAATTACAATACGATTGGTATTTTTTTCATGATTAAGTTGAACTTGACCTTATAATTTTATAATAAAATTGTCTACGTGACAACCTTTAAATGCGTATACATAAATTCGTCTGAGATTCTTTTGGAAAAGTGTATTCGAAACTTTGTGCTCTGCAATGAAACTTCTGAGCACATTTCTTACGCAACTTATAAAAACTTGATGGAAAAAAATTTGCGTAAGAAACCAAAAGAAATAATTTTTTCCTTCATGGATTTAAATTAGTATACGAGTAACATACAAGAAGGTAAAAAAATAAATAATACTAAAAAATGTTTTAATCCTTTTTATTACAAAAAAAACTATCGACTCACGAGTTTTTTTCTGTAATAGTTGGCTACCCGTACCTTTATCTTAATTTTCATATGCTGCCTCGACAAATCCAAATTGGTAACAAAAAAAGACAATTCTCTCTACGAAATAGCGTAAAGACAACATCAGACACCTATACAAATATTAATACATCAGCGCAGAAAACTCGTTTCGCAAAATATCCGATGTCTCTTGAAAAATTCAAATCCTACTTACTGATTACTTTAAATAATTAACATCTACAGAGATGTCTTTATTTATTTATTATTTTTTTTTTATTTAGTNAGGATCTAAAAACTAGATATATACGTGTCCACGCATGATACATCTATTCGTTTACTGTTTCAAAGTGCCAACGACCTCCTTATAATTTAAAAATATAATGTATATATATGTATTACATGGAGATCGGTAAAATGCGAAAGACCAAACTAAATCGTATATTACTTATATTTTAATTTAGAAATACTTGTGTTTTTATTCCCAATCTTTACTTTCAATATTATTTTCAGGGAAGGGTGGGGATCGATGAGTCGATGAGAAACGATAATTATTTATAAGTATTTTTAAAATAAATATTAAAATATCATACTATCACACTAGCGATTTCTCTTCTGGTCATAAAAATCACTATACTAAATTTGATTTTGTACACGACCAGTTCACCCTTTTTCAAAAGAGCAAACAAGTAATCATTGCTACAATAATTTAATGTTAAAAATAAACTCAACTCCAAAAAATTGGAATGCAAGAAAATATGCTCGTGTCGCACCTACATTCATTCAGAAAGTGAATTTACAAAAACGAGATCCAAGTAAATCCCCTTTTTCATCCTCGTTAGATGATTCGTCATACACTCCCTGTTTAACTATTAATTCATCGTGCTATCGTTTGTCGCAACCATCATGCGTATCACAACAGTTTTTAAAATTATTTTTTCTTATTGCGTGACAAACAATCAGCTACACAACGTACAAGAAAGTACTTTTACATGTACATTTTTTACAGAAAGATATTAGCTTTGATTCAGTTCAGCAGACTTTTTTTTTTTTTTTTAAGTAACTCACACCATTATCCGTGAAAAAATGATTAAAAAATCAATTCTTTCGATAAACTCCACTCTTGTAGTATGATTCAGGTGATGACACGAAGTTGCCTTGGAATGTACGGAAGTAAAAGTATATACGTGCAAAAGCTATTATCGTCATCATTTTTGGCGTACAAAAGATTCCGATTCTATCGAGCTTTTTGTTAAAATTGTTACTATATAGGGTATAACGATCCGCGTAGGGTTCGAGAGCCGACCGAGGTTGTCTCAACTGCTCCACGAAGACGTCAGAAAATATCGTACAAATAAATTTCACGTTTCCGTATACGTATAATACACCCACAAAGCTAATTGTTCCAGTCGAAAATCTTTATTCGCGTATCAAATGCGGTTAGGGGAAAAAAAAAAAAAAAGAAACCGGAAAACGCGTCGAGACGTCCCACGCATCGGCTCTCCAACGACCCATGCTTATATACGCATCTCGGCTTTGGCATCTGTATATAGTATATAATATTACCTACATCATTGATTTACGTTGACGTATATTATGCATACACAAATAATAATAAAACGCAGTACAGTACACGAGCACGTGTGGCACATAAGTATATGTATGTATATATATACGTATAGTAAAAATAAAATGTATGGTCGTGCCGTAGTACGTATTTTATAATATATGTATGTATGTATATATTATATGCTAAAACTCGGTGCGAGTCGCGAAGAAGCCGAGCAGGCGCTCGCCGGAACTCAAGATCGGCACCTCGGAGTCCGGGTAGAGGTGACGGAGTATCGCCAGGTAGTGGAAACCAGCGCCCACCGCGACGAACAGGTGCCAGATTGCGTGGGCGCACGGGATCCTGCCGTCCGCCTTGAAAAACACTATGCCCACCAGATAGGCGAGACCGCCCAGCTTCAGTTCGGCTATGTTGTCGTACTCGGTCTTAAAATGAAACGAGCCAATCTTACACGACAGAGCTTTTTTTCCCCCTTCTCTACTTGTAAGCTCATTCCGTGTTTTTTTTTTTTCTTTTTTTTTTCTTTTTTTTTTTTCAACACTTACGATTATCCGTGCTGCTCCTGACGCGTTCGAAAGCATGGACTTTGATGACAAAAGAAAAAGGAAAAAAAGACAGAGAGGTAAGATAGATTGTAATAACGATAGAAAAATAAGTACGAGCAATAAAAATACGAGTAAATAATAAACTCACGATGCCGACTATGGCGACGCTGGGCCCGAGGCCCATGATGACGTAAAATAGGGTCTCGAGCCACTTGTAGCGCTCGTGGAAGATCTGTTGGTAGAGTATGCCGACCGCGGCCATGATCCAGATGAGGATGCGCGTCGTGGGTAGTAACACGTCAACTTGGAACGGCTCGTGGTTCAGCCACGGGAAGTAACTGGCCGCTATGAACACGTAGATCATCGCGCGGTCGCACCGGTGCAATACGTCCTTCAAACTCGTCAACTTTCTACGATTTCATATGGGAGGGGGGGGGGGAAGAAAATAAAAAAAACACGATAATTTTCGAGGCAAATGATTTCATCGCCTACCTTATACATTCAATATTTGATACCGATCTTTGTACCGATCAAGGGGTATGAAAGTGTAAATCGTGATCAAAGACAGCGTGGAACGGTGACTCACCCTTTGTGGAAGCAGTAGTGAATGCCGTGGAAGACGGTGGAGACGATGAATAGGAGCGAGAGGGAGGTGCCGTAGATGAGGGCGGAGAGTAGCTTGGGCCACGTCGAGGCGCGCTCGATGAGCTCGAGGGCACCGAGGAAAGCCGGGACGATCCATATCCCGTGGCTCACGACGTTCGCCACGTGCTCCACGAAAGTTGGCACGTACGCCTGGTTCGTGCACGCCTTTGGATTCATCCATTTCACTCTACGCAAGTGTATATATATATGTAGGCATAATATCGTTTAATTTCACACGAAACTGCACGTCCCATTCATACATACATCTTGGTTCATGGGATTTTTTTTTTTTTTTTTTTTTCCTCGACGACTGTGCGATGATAAAATCAAGCACGTGTAGGATCTAAAAACTAGATATATACGTGTCCACGCATGATACATCTATTCGTTTACTGTTTCAAAGTGCCAACGACCTCCTTATAATTTAAAAATATAATGTATATATATGTATTACATGGAGATCGGTAAAATGCGAAAGACCAAACTAAATAGTATATTATAGGTATAGCAGTGCGATTTAATTACCGATCGTGGCAGTTATTGTTTTGCAATTCGTGTAAATCTACATGATATTTGCATACACTAAGTACGGGTGCCTATACATATAATATGCAATACGAGCACATATACATGTATATGGTGTATCGGCTGCAGTTTGTGCATATCGTGCATATTTATATTTGTATATCGTGTGCACTCGAATCGATGCGTATACCCAATACATATATATGTATTTATTATTGTAGCGCAAGCTCGCGTGCACGTATACTTTATTCCAAACACGTGTGTATGTATATTCGATTGAGATAAATTTATAGAACGAGCGTGTCGCCGAGTAATTATATTTGATTGGCGAGTCAAAGAGTACATTATGTAGGTACGTACACGAAGCGCGAGCCAAATCGGTATCGTTGAACTCTACGCGACTATAGTTTAAAATCGTATAAAATCGCCGTCGAACTTTCAACAATCTTGGTAAATCACGACGAATAATAATAATAATAATAATAATTATTAATAATAATAACTAACGTAACTGCCGAAGTATAGAACTTTCTTTGTGTATGTATAACGTAAACGCATACACGTGATGCACGCGCGCGAGTCCTTTCAAGTTCACGTCGATAATTTCATTTTAAAAGTCGCACAAACGCGTGTAACTCGGAACTGTATCGGAAACTTGACATCCGAACGAATGATAATGATAATTCAATTATACCGTAGCGCATGACATAGGTACAAGTACGCTGCGATCTTTATAATGCACGAGTGATCGGTGTAAGATCAAAGCCGTGATTTAGTTGAAAAAATAAAAATTGTGCTGTTTAATCAGCTAGATATATGCAGATTATTTATTTTTATTTTGCAATAGCATCAAAGCAGCACTATTTTTTATCTCTTACCATACTAAATTTCAGTACACGCTGCAAGCGGCATTGCGCATACGATAAATTCCTCATGCCTAAGACAACCTTTTGATCTACGCTCAATCTACACAATATGAAAAAATATATATACGATGAATATGTAAAATGTAACTTGCTAATTTAACACCACTACAACGCTGTTACTGTTATTATCTATTATTATTCTTATTGCGTGACAAACAATCAGCTACACAACGTACAAGAAAGTACTTTTACATGTACATTTTTTACAGAAAGATATTAGCTTTGATTCAGTTCAGCAGACTTTTTTTTTTTTTTTTTNAAGACATAATATTTGATACTGATTTTTGTTCCGTTGGAACAAGCAACTTATTTAGCTTTACAATCTACAAAGTAAACCATAATTCATAGTTTTATAATATAATAATAATAATAATAATAATAATAATAATAATAATAATAAAAAATTTGTCGTGTAAAATGATGTATTATTTTAAAACACATCGCATCATTAAAATCGTCATAATACTTTTGGTGTCACATGTATTAATTTCTCTCATAAGTAATATACAGGTGTAAGTAAGTATATACTCACTCCTTGAGTCGACGCATTTGCAGGGTTCTATTAACAGCCCCATTGAAGTGATGCCATTACGACTTTTCCGTCATCGTTAACAACCACAAAGGCTAAGTGGCCGACATTCCTGTGGGATGGAGACATTTGCTCGGGTTTGACGATGTGATACAGTGATGGGTTATCAAATTTATCGTCGCCCAATACGCATGTATCGGGTGATCTGCAAGGAAAGGAAAAACAAATAAATAAATAAAGTATATACGTTAAAAAGGTGATTTTTATTTATTTATTTATTTTTTTTTTCTAACATAGGTTACATATACATAAAAGTTGAGATTAATGAATCGTTTATCTTTGCATAACCTCGATACGGATAATACCACCTGGTATTTTATATTTTAAGTTTACTCGCGATGACAGAATAATAATAGACAACAGCAACGGCATCGAATGCACGCTAACGTAAATAGATTTTCTATCGATAGAGGGATAACAGGTCAATTTGAACGAGCTTTTTTTTTTTTTTTTTTTTTTATTTCTTTTTAAACTTGATGCACAAAATATTTGCGAATAATCATTCGATTCGTTACAAGTCGGTAAACTTTATTGAGACCAAAACCGATGTACTTCAAGCTTGACTCCCTCGAGGCTGCCTAATTAAAAATTTCATCGAAAGCTCGCTCGCGTTAAAACGTACAAGTACCTATTGTGCTCCCGGTCATACTTATCCCCATAGCGCGGAGTTGAATATTTTCGATTTAACGTTGTATAACACACGCGACACAACACACTCGATCACAACGAAAATCGGCGAAATGGAGCGCGGATAAGAGCTCCTCTCGATCTCAACTATACACAGCGTAGGCGGGCGAGCGACTGGCGGAGCTCAAGTTTTTTGGCATCGGCAAACCTGAGACGCGCACTTTTGGCGATCGATACACGGTATAATATGTACGTGCACGTTGTTTGGCCTTTTATTTTCACTTGTCCAGGGGATAAGCTACGCGCGCCCCAGCGGAAAATAAAAAAAAAAAAAATGAAATGAAATAACATTACTTGTAATATACTAGTACTCTCTTGCACCCGATCGGTGTGGGCCTGCGGTACCTTTATTCCCGATTTTTGTTTCCTCCAAGGGGATTTTTTTATACACCTGCAGGTACGTATACGTTATATGTAACTTACGTCCTCGAGGTATATACACGCCAAGGGAGAAAAGTGGGAAAAAAAAAGAGAAAAAACTGCCGACGCGTACTCGAGCCGATGACGATCGGACGGCTATTGGCAGCTGAGGGAGAGAGACTGCAGCCTTTTGCCGCTCGGCTCATTTACGTAAGCCGGCGCGCGGATCACTTGTACTGCACATATGCATTGTTTTGTGTGTGTGTGTGTGTGTCTGTTTAGAACTCATAAGTGCGGCCAATATGCGGCTTTGTGTGTCGTAAGAGAATCTTTATGTGTATAGGATGACACGCCGATCTCTCGTGCAACGTGGACTGAAAAGAAAAACGAAGGCCGCAGATTTGTACGCGTATACTTCTCTATCGTATCCGATCAGCGGATCGAGAAAAATCGGCGGCTCGTATAGCTTTTGTTGCCGGTATTTACCAAGTATGTATAGGTTTACATACGATGTGTTTTGCGCGTGTTAAATCATAAAAAATTGCTATGATGCTTGTGCGCGTTTTTCTTTTTTTTTTGCAGGGTATAGTAAAAGCATGCCGATTTATTTATTGACTGCGCCTTAAATGTAGATCAACTGTTTCGAACTTGGGGGCCAATTGAGCGTCTTTGGTGCATTTTACGACTCGCGTTGAGCGAAGAAAAGTGGAACAACGGAATTGATGGGCTTTCTCGATTGTCATTTTCGACCCATTGGCTTTAGGTCTTAAAAAAAAAAAAAAAACAATTGACTCCCCCGAAGATTATACGATGTTCTACTTATTTACTATTTTTTTTTTTTTTTTTCTTTTCTTTATACTTTCCACATACGTATAACGAATTTCACTTTTGTCGAGTATACAGGGTCCCCGGCTGCCAAGATTATACGAGGGAGTTGCCGAGAACACGAGCCAAAAAGTAAAACCCGCATCGCTCGAAAAAGAGAACAGAGCCATGCATACAACGGGGGGGAGGAGAGAAAGAGATAGGTCAAAGTGCGTCGACGTAATATTAAGTATATGCATGAAATACTTGCGCCGTATTCATATAGGAAGGGACGATCGATCGGGCCTTGCATAGTCCCTGTGTGCACCAAAAAGCGTCCCTTCGCTCGAAAGGATTGTATGTACAAGTGTACACACGTGGTCACTTTCAACAAAAGACACGAGGGAGAGTTGCTGGAAAATGTAGGTCAGCCGGTATAACGTGTGGGCATCGCCCAATCAACCCCCGGGAAACCCTTCGGAGGACGATGGTTATTAGCGATTGGCACCCGCGGGCTACTTGTAAATATGCACGATAGTTCCGCCCTCCCGGGACGCTCGATCGGTTCGAGGGTGAGTGAGTGTTATATTGTTATATTACGCGTCCATACTGATGTTACTTTCATGCGCAGCAAAGCTCTCCGAGACGTGGCATTATGAAAGCCTCGGGTTGACCGTCTCATTGCCTTTCAGAGCTAATTATTCGGGACACAAAGGATGAGGTGCCTTTTTTTCCTTCGCGTTAACTTTGGTCAAAATCTCTCTCTCTCTCTCTCTCCTATCTTTGTCTCGATTAAAATTAGCCAAGAGAGTCTCGACCGTGTTAGATAAACGGAGAAAACAATTAGGGGGCCTTTTGCCTTTGATCTACGTAAATAAATAAATTAATGAATAAACATATAGGTGCTCGCGTATAATGATGCATGCGAGTGCGGTACTTTGTTCTTTGTGGAGATGTATTGATAGGAGGGAGTGTATGAATATTGGGCATAAAAGGGGTGACCTTAGCCGTGGAGAGCACCTCTTAATTAGCGGGATCGAGGGCTTGCCAATTTTTTTTTTTTTTTTTTTTTTTCTTTTTTAGATTCCTCAATTCTATGCGTCAAAAATTTTTACTTTAGATTTTTTCATTTGCATTTTCTTTCCACGCGAATTTACAATGAGTCGGTTGTGCGGGCGAATCGTTACTTATTCTCCTCTGCTGCGTGTATACATATATACTCGTAGGTTCTACGTTGGAACTGCGGGGTTTTTTTATTTTTTTTATTTTTAATTTCATCCCTGAAAACTTGGCTCGATGATTTTCCACCTTTGTTTGTGACACGCTTTAAAAAAAAAATGCACAATAGGTACGAGGGACACACGTGTCAAGTATTATATTTATCATGTGTTGTACAATCTTGACCTTGCCCTTATTTTTTTTATTTTTTTTTTTTTTTAATCTGCTTACAAGGATTTCGGAAGGTGGGCCACAAAAAAAAAAAGATTGTCTATATTTACTGAATCTTCAAAAAAACCAAAATGTATTCCGCACGGACCACACGCGCTATTTTCAATTAATCTGAAAACGCTGGAATTAATCATTATTTTCCAACGGATAGCGTTTGGTGTGGACCAACCATCAAATTTTGTGATTTCGGGTACGTAGATATATACCGTCCAATTTTTATACAATACGAATGATCGGTAAGTACACAAAATATACACACTCGTGTTGTATAAAAATTTCGATATAAAATAATCAACAAAATGACTCGTTCACACTATTTGCTACCACCACCACAGGGGTTGCGGTGCATGTATCGGAAGATGCACTACTGTAATACATGTATTTCCGATCTCGAACTCACGAGTCCCTATATGGAGTTGGATGTAACGTGGAAAGCGACTCTATACATGAACGACCGTGAACCCTTCAAGTACACTTATGTGACTTTTTTAATATTCTATCCGGTCGCTGCTGATATTGTGATCATTAAATATACCTATTTCAGTGATAAAAAAAAAAAAGTTACGTTTAAAAGTCGTGGTGCGTAGACACAACGAGATCAAGAAATCGCTAATGGTTCGCATGAAAAGCTCCGACGCGCGCGCGCATTACGTTTATGTATGTTGTACGCATGAAACGACCTCGTCAAGTAAAAATTTTCGTTTTATTTTTAAAAATAAACGCGTTTCGTATTAATGCGTTGCGAAAATTATACATGTATTTTTTAAATATGCTATCATGCGTCCTTGAGAGTCTACCGTTGGTCGATATTCTTTCTTTGACCTGTTTTTTGTTTTTCAATTTAATAAAGTGTTGATAGATTTATATTTTTTACAAATTTCATCATCATGAATAACGAGTGTAGTTGAAGATTTCCATGCACAAAAAGTGCAAATTTACGTTAATTACCTGTACCTATGCAACAAAATATAGTTGAATTTGATAAGCTCTACTAATTGTTTGGTCTAACGTGCCTATACAATGAAAGATATCGCAAAAGGGGGAAAAAAAAAACAAATTTGGTCGTGTCCGTCAGGACAAAAGATTATAATAATAAATACAATTTGAATGATTTTACTTAAATTTGCGAAGCCAAGAATTTTAAATACATCTATATGTAAAATGAAAATTCAGAGACGACAAGCATGCATTAATCGATCCATTTGTGAGCTCCTCGGACGCGTGCTTTTTTTATTTTTCAATAACTCGCGCACACGCGCATTATCATAATTTATTATTCAATGGACAACTCGTGAAAAACAATTATTCCTATTTTTTTTTCCTCTTTCAGCGAATGAACAATCGCACTGTTTTACAGACTTGTATATTCAGTATATTTTAACAATGTAATTAAAATAAAAAAAAATGAAATAAAATAAATGCGCAATCGCTATGAAAATGTAAAAAAACAACAGTATTTTAATAGATAAATTCTATACGAAAATAAGTAAGTACACAAACACAAATTGTCCCGGCAGTGAATTCCTAGCACCTTTATCTTGGCCACTTTCATCTTTAATTAATGCGTATACGTATATGTACACTACACCGCAACCATTATAATTATCAAGCGAGAAAAAGATCAAGTGCAAGCGAGCAAGGCATGAATCAAATGCTATAGGTATGATATAATATATATATATGTACCTCGCTCTGTATATACCACAATCTCCGCGAGCCGACTGTCGAGGGAAAATTAAATTAAAAATTCATCCTACGAGTCTACGTGTAGGAACAATAACTTAAAAATAATTTATTTACTCGCCTCGACGTGGAGCTTCTCCATCCTCGACGTGGGTGCCAGCGTTTCACCGTTCACTGAGCGACTGGATTTAATTTCAACGGGACAGGCATACTACGTGCTGGAAATTCGGATTTTAGAGGGGGCGAGGGGGAAATAATAAAAAAGGAAGGAAAAAAAAAAATTACTACGGAAGAAGCCGAGAGGAAGACAATCGTTTCACGAATTATTGTGCCCACACGCGAGATACTGAAGATCCGGAATCCGGAGGCACAGCAGCTGATCGCACTACATCTTGTCGCGTATATGACCCGATCACCCCCTGTATTTTTTGAGCCAAAAGCTCCTTACGATGATGTATCTTTTTTTTTTTTTTTTTTTTTTTTTTATTTCTTTTTTTTTCAATTTTCAATACTGTCGAGNTTTTTTTTTTTTTTTTTTTTTTTTTTTTTTTTTTTTTTTTTTTTTTTTTTTTTTGACCGCATATTGTACTGTTATCGAAACATTTCCTCGTTAAATAAATATAGGTAAGATGATTGAGGAGAATATTCTTTATTTTCTTTTGCCTCCCCAACGCGAGAGTCCCGAAAGGTTCCGCGTGGGTGTAAAAAATTACTTACGACAAAAATAAAGCTCGTGTCCCACTTGATTGAAAATACTGTCGATTAAAAAATGTTATCAAGTTGAAGAAAAAAAAAAAAAAAATTTACAAAAACTGTGTGTTGTAAATGCCCGCAACGCAAAGCCAAGGCTTCCAGAGCGGTGACTGAACGCCACGCGAGCGATGCTCCGACTATAAGTATTCCATACACACTTGAATTCGTGACGACGACGACTGCGACAGTGCGACTCAATTCGCCGTTTACAATACCTTATACGTATTACAAATATATACATGTACATCAATATATGTGTGTGGCCATAGGGATGGATAATGGATAGGGGGAGGAATTTTTGGTCTCTCTTGACTCTCCTGGTGATGCACAGTATACTTGGGATGGAGAGAAACCGGTGTGGTAAAATTAGAGAGAGAGAGAGAGAAAGACAGAGTTAGGACTTGCATGGGACCAAAGTGAAACTGAATGGATAGAAAAAGCCTGTGGAAGAGCAATAGTATACCCTGTTGTATTAAAATTCTCTTTTCTGAGAAAAGGCGTTTTTTTTTACAGCTTCTCTGGTGCTCTGTCTCGGATGGGTTTTATTTTGTACTTTTTTTTTTTTTTTTTTTTTTTTTTTTTTTTTTTTTTTTTTTAACCATAAAACTAAAGCCTATATACCTTCGCGGGTGCGCCCACGTCTACGAGGGGCTTAGCCCCCGCGGAGGAACGTTGGGTACGACAGACGTGACAGCTAGGCTGGTCTTTCGCTTTCTCTCTCTTCCTTTGCCTTTATTACTTCGTGCGAGAGCACGACCGTGATATGGATGGGAGCAAGGGGGAAACCTATATACCTATTTACATTTATATATATTATATTGGGTTGGTTCGGTGCAAGGATGAGGTGTGCGAGAGACAGAGCCGAGCTGGAACGGCGCCACCCGACAGCAGCTGGTATATATATGGCCTTTCGGCGCGACTATTCGATCGTTCGATGAAAATTATTCTTTTTTCCAAATTGAAGGAAGTACCTTTTTTTTTTCATGTCAACAATTGACTTGGCACGATAGGTCGAGAGATTGAGATAGTAGCTCTTGGACGCTGAAACGTATTGAAAGTACGATTAATTAATGATGCAATGAGATTTTGGGAAATTTAGTGTAGCCACTGGAATATTAAATAAATGTAGTTCAAGCTGCGATCGAATCACCTTATAAATTGGACGTGCGTATCATTTCCAAGTCCATGAGTGATGTCATTTTTTAATTAAAAATTTATAAACGAAAAAAAAAAAAAAAAAACACCTCATCCTTTACAAACATTTAGAATTAGGATGATTCAATTTTTTAATAATAACCACAGAAGCATTTTCTGGAACGTTATATTTTATTTTATTTAATTCATGGCAAAAATATTTTCCATTTTTTTTTTTTTTAATGGATTTTACAACGACGTGCACGTCATAATTATCATCTATATTACAATTTATTAACGTTTGCTAAGTTTTGTCATGTTAAAAATACTGACCTAACTCTATCCAACAAAATGCTCTAGTCATTAATGATTAACGCACTATGTATGTACAAACATACAATATTTTATGAACAAGTAATGCATATTGCATTTAAAAAACAATAGTTGTAAAAAATACGTTTTCCCTGGAAAATTCGCTCAAACGAGTGAACATCTCGTACTCAAAACACAACATATTATGTATATTACGTATGATTTGTGTTTATAAAAACAAATAATAAAATTACGTTTACATGTAGAACATATCGTCAAACATCAACGAGGTACTTTCACTATTAAAAAATTAATGGAAAAAAAAAAAAAAAAAATTATCGTATATGTAAAATATATAAAATACACCTTCATCTGCAAAATTTTTCAATAAGTGGCGAGCACTCCTGGGAAGCCATTGTTGCCTGCATACCGCGTGAGCAATGATTTCTATAACGATACTCGTTGATTCGTTCCAGCGAGTTAACGTTTGACAACTGTCGAGTTCGCTCACTGCTCAAATACAGAGTTGCACCAGCGATCCCTAAGAATCAACATTGTTCGCTCTTTTTTCTTTTATTTACTAATTTTAATTTCATAATAATACATTTTTTTTCTTTTTTTATTAGTGCTTGTAGATGGAAATTAAGCTCTTGATGCATATTAAACGCATGCTTGAATTCCCCAAGTGGCTCAATGATGATTCGTGCTTTGTGTATGCGTGTAAATTATTCTTTTTTTTTTTTCGTTAGTGCATCACAATTCGTTTTTACGGTAATGCAAAGGAAAAAAATGATGTTTAATGCCGTTATTGCGACTCGATTACTTACTTTATATAACGTGCAACATCTTATTGTCGAGGTTTTGCGTTTAAGATTGAAATTAATTTTCAATCATAGCACAGCTTGAAATTTGTTTGGTTGTCACATATTAAAATAGCACTAGACAATTTTTTTTTTTTTTTTTTTAATTTAAGCGCAATGAAAATGCTGGGATATTTAATAAAACACCATTGAATATTTTAAAAAGCAAACCCTTGGCATCGTAGTGGGTTCCTAATTATTTTTCGTCAGCCAATTTTTTCCCACCACTTTATCAACATGCTCTTAAATTTTGCCTCTCTCGACGACCACAAAAATACGCCCTTTTAAAAAATACGTAGGTACATTTTATCTTCTTTTAAGCAATTGACCTCTCAATTGTTTGCATAGCATGAAAAAAAATATTCTCTTGTCTACGGGTATATTATGTACATTTTTTTGCACCAAAGGCGTTTTTTCAAACGCCAGTCACTCTCTTTCTCGCCTCATCAAATCGCACGTACACATACACCAGTGATTTGCCACAAAACAAAGCAACGTAAATAGTAAATTTACACATGTATGTGTATATGCAGTGAGAAAAAAAAATTTTTATAATTATTATTGTACCCTGTTCATTACGTTCGCTTGTTCTATATAACACCACACATTGCACAGGCAGCCGATCACACGCACCGGTGAACGTGCAAAAAATACCCAAAACGTAATAAATGCATTTTTACGATCTAATGCAAAAAAAAGGTAATCAAGGCAAGGAGAGAAAGGTGCACGGGATCGTCGATCGCGCCCAGAGTAAGCTTTTTAACTTTAGTTCACACTAACCGTTCTGGCTTTTAGGATCGGTCAACGACTCTACGTCAGGACCCATCTCTCTGTCGTCGTTGTCGCGATCGATCGGCTCGTCCTTCACTCTGTACACCAGGCACATCGCCAAGGCACCAAATATCGGAGGCACACCTGCCAGTAGGAACGACATATGATACGATCCTGCAACATAATAAGCGAGCCGTTGATTGATCGTTTTCATATTTATCGATATAACCTACCGATCGATAAATCGGTTGGTTGTTATTGTTGTTACCTGTGTGGTCGAAAAGTAGACCCGCAATGGGAGGGCCGACGGTCAGGGGTATCGAGCACAGACCCAATAAAAATCCAATGGCCTGGGCAGCGTCTTTTTTCCCACAGATGTCAAAGGCGATCGGCCCGAGGAGTGAAATGAAGCAGCCGTCGAAGAGTCCCATGCCGAGCAAAATAACGAGTAGTATCGAGTAAGACTTGACGAAAGCAATTATCATCGTCAAGACGCCTATGCTGACGAAAGAGATCTAAGGGGACGAAATAAGTATAGTTTTTTTTTTTTTTTTTTAATTTCAACAAGGAATTTTTAAAAGTAAAAAAGCAAACAACATTGATGGCATATGAATTATACCTGCTGGAGGAGTATTCTATTGACTCTCGGAAGATCGGCGACGTAACCAAAGACGAGCCGTCCGATGCCGGATGTTATACCGATGCACATCAGAGGGTACGTTTTGTCGGCTTTTTCGAACGTTATGTCGACGTACTTTCCAATGTGAACGTACGGGACAAAGTACCTGCAAACAGTTTTGGTTTTTCTTTATTTTATTTTTTCTTTCGATTACCGATTTATTTTCGACGATGAAAAGAAGCTCACCCGAACAACGCGATCGGTATCGCGCTGGCCCAGACGACGTACTTTTTCCTCTTCCAAATGGACCGGTTAACGACCTCTTTGAGCATCGTCCGGAACTTCTTCTTGCCGATCATCGACTCCGTTTCCTCGGATGACTGCACTGCACCGATCGAACGAACCGATTTCGATTAGCATGAAGAAAAAAAACAAAAAAAAAAAAAAAAAAAAAACAACCAAACTCACAGGGTATGGGCTTGAAGAGAATGGCACAGGGCATGAGCACGGCCGTGAGCACGGCTAGATTTTTGAGCGTGACCTCGAGCCCATACTTGTCCAGCATCCGCTTGATCACGTAAGGCAGGAGGATCGTGAACACCGAGCTGCCCGTCGTCACGATGCCGTTCACGAAGCCCAAGTGTCGTTTGAAGTAGTGGCCGAGAATCACCAGGCTCGGCGTGTAGGCAAGACTCGCCCCGAGGCCGTACATCAAGCCGTAGGTCAAGTACAGGTACTCCACCTGTCGATTATGTTCAATATAGGTATATATGCGTGGGTATGTGGATCTAGGGTGGACGACGCAAGAGCTCGATTGTTTTACCTGATCCACGAGGAGGGAGGAGGCGTACATGCCCAGGGCAGCCAAGGCGCCACCGATGAAGGTCGTCCGTTGGATGCCGATTTTGTCGGTGAGGATACCGGCGATCGGCGACAAAAAGAACGTCGTGCCGATCGTCAGCGAGCCCACGAGCGCTGAACGTCACAATACACGGAAGATGTAAATACATATTTTGCTTCATGTTTTATTTTTTTATTTTTTTTATCTATACTTGACCATTATCGCGTTGTATGGTCAATAGTGAGAAAAGCACAGCGAGCGTATGTTTTAATTTATCTGCGATGCTAGAGGGGGTGGAGGTGGTGTATGTAACGTCATTCACGAGATAGCCGGGAAATTTGTATAATAATCCGAATTTACTTTTCTTGTCGATTATTCTATATACTTATGCCGGTAGGGGCTGTTGATCGGAGAGAAAATCTTGGTTTCTCCAACTGTAGAGGACTATGAAAATGTGTCGCTATTTGAAATGTAAATGAAAATAGAAGCTCTCGCATTGGACACGCAACATCAAGTCTTCTTCTACTTCTCTACTTGTTACCGCACGCACGCGTGAATTTATATAGGTACACGTGTGTAAAGTATTTGACTCTTGTTGTCACATACATTTGAAATTTCTCAAATGCCTTTCAGCGTTAATAACGACCGCACGTGCCATTTTTTTCGCTAATCAAAAACTTCCTCTTTCTCATGAATGCGCCTCTCCTGTATATCTGCACACATTTATGTGTTCTGTGTATTATTGAGGCGCGGGAATCGGACTGAATAATTTAAATTTTAGTTTGTTTTTTTTTCTTTTTTTTCCCATTAATGCATCGAGATAAGGTGTACAATGCCTACATGTTGGGTATTTTTAGAAAAGTTGTTGCAAGATACGAGTACTATCTTGCACGGGGATTGATGAGAAATCGAGTTTAATCAGCGATTGTCGTAAAAACCTTATCTTCGTGTAATGTAACGTGACGTAATATATATAATGCGTGCAGCGCACAATGAGGATTAATTGGTTCGTTGACCGGAGCAGCTTCTTTGGCGACGATCTCCTCGTCTACGATGATTAATCATATTGTTAACTCTTTTCATCGGCTATCCTCGTTAGCTCGTGTCAATATAACATACACGTATATACTTGTACATATGTTTATAAGTACCCGTATGGTGCATGCTCTCGCGTGCATTTCAAATTTAATTACATTATTCAGTGACAAACATTAGCTTCGAACTGTACGTGTGTTGATGCAGATTAGGGCTCAGGATACTTATTTTGACTTATCGTTTTTTTTTTTAGTTATTACATACTTAAGTCAATTTTATCGGGTTCTCTTGTGGTATCAATAAAATATTGTGTTGGTACGGAGCCCAAGAGTCCCTTGTAGGTATATTTGTAAGAGCGAAAAAAGCAACTTTGCACGGAGACTGGTAACGATATCCATTTCACACACCAATCGTTAATAAAGTACTCGTACTTAAGAGAATGCTTTACGTATTTGTTTAACCACGATAGCAACTTTGAAACAACCCATCATCATCATCATCATCACGATTATCGAATCATTCAATTGAGAAGATTTTGCTTCGTTTCGAAGTTTCATTGATCGATCGGCAATACACGTGCACATGTCAATTTATCGCTTCGTTAATCAGACAAGTGGCATGCGTTCGTACGTATACCGTCGTACAGGTTATTCCTTTTTTTATGAAGCTTCATTAACCCAATTAATCGTATGTAAAGAAAAATCAACGAGGATAACATCATCCTTATTACTTAGCCGATGGCAATGAAAATCGATGAAAATCGATCAAACCACTAAGTACAGCATCTCGCGAACTTCAAATGATTTACAAAATGGCATCGTTACTTCTGAAAACTTCATTCGTCGTTTGAAATTCTCGGGAGTGATTCATGCGCGTGATTGAGAATTCCCAAAAGCTACCCAAGTAAGATACCTATATGGTGATAAAATATGTGTGCGGTGCTTACCAACTTTGGACGATACTTCAGTCTCGCCATTTGACGTCAGTCTTTTCTGGAGTTCCAGGTAAACGAGCGAATACGTGTTGATGACGCTGAAGAGGACACCATTGATCATAAAACTCGCTATCATTATGGACCAGGCCCTATTAATCATAAACCCATTTTTTTTTTGTTTTTTTTTTAAATTACACGTATATTATTGCCAAAGTATGCAGTATAGATAGCCGATAATCATTGTGAGACAGGTCAAGTAATGTAATCAGTAAAACGAACCTCAGGCCACCGTCGGGTGGCTCTTTTCTGTGGCCATTGACTGTGCCGTTGGTGGTGTAGCCACCGGCGTCGACGGCCTTGGCATTGAAGTTACCACCGTTCTCGAACTCATGTCTCGGATGGTAGGCTTCCTTTTCGTCTTCTCGATTGGTGTCATTTGCGAGCTCGGCTGTCGTCATTTTTTTTTTTTTTTTTCCCTTCCCGAGTCACGAGTGGCCGTTATTTCAATCAATAATGCAAATCCCAAGGGTTTCGTTGTCCCTCGCGAGATGCGGTGATCTATTTATAAAAACATTTCATCATCTCATAAATGTATATATATCTTCGGAAATATATTTTGTAAGGATGATGTAGGAAAGCGCGATTTTTTTTTCTGTTCTACCTGCGGGTGAATCAAATATTTCGTACCCCCATACAAATGTGTTATTTTTACTAAAACAATTTATGCAAAGTCTCAGAAAATTTTATCAATTTCATAAATCATATTTTTAACTATTTTTGTTACTTATATAGGTTTACAACAAGAATATTACACACACAAAAAAAAGCTGCTCTTCTGACTTGATTACTCACAGACTCGTGTGACAACTAATGTTCGCTCCGAGCCGATGCAGAGGTTGCGCCCCCTCTAGCCAAAATCAGGCAACATTTCTTGCATGTAAACAAACGGTTTAGAACATATATACATACGTACAGCTGCTTGTGATTGGCTGAATAAGACAGCATGAGAGGATCGTCGTTCTCTCTCTAGCTTGCCAAGAGCCAATCACAAGCAGCTGTACGCATGTATATATGTTCTAAACCGTTTGTTTACATGCAAGAAATGTTGCCTGATTTTGGCTAGAGGGGGCGCAACCTCTGTATCGGCTCGGAGCGAATAGGTACGCATCATAAAATGACCCTAGAGAGAACACCTTGGTGTATATAGATAAATTCTGAGTAAACGTTAGAAAAATGAAAGGCCATGCAACGAAGAGCACGTGCAGCAAGTTTGCTTTTAATTTATACGAGTATATCTTCTTTTGTAGTTTTACGTGTGTAACTTTATTTTTTTTTTTTTTCGTATAATGCCCATCTTTATGGAAGAAAATTTTTTGGTGAAGAAAATTATCGAAATACATTCCTGTACGGAATGAAAGCTTAATTAAACGATCGGACACGTGTTTGCGGTCTCTCGCCATCTGTTTTTGTAATTTATTTGCTTCTTATAAATCAATAAATTGCGATTAATCGATTGACAAGGTCTATAAAAAAAAAAAATGCATCCAAATTGTCAGTTACAACGCTTTTTGCTCTAATCTCTTTTGCTCTGATCTGCAAAAGTAAACATTTTTTTTAATTCAATCCGTTCGAGCAAACAATCTGTACCCTGGCTCGTTTATTGTTCGAAGATAAGACCCGTCAATGTTAAATTTATTGAGTATGAATAGACTTTCGAAGAAAGCTTTTTTAAATAGATAATTTAAAATGACTCTTGACTCATCAATCCGACCTTTTGTAGTTTCTTTTCACGCATACTTTAATTTTTTTTTTTTTTTTTATTTTTCGAAAGAAATTTTTAATTGGCGATGCAACCAAATTTTTATTGAACGATTGCAATCCGGACGACTCGAGAACTTGTATGCGTTTACCCGAAATTTGATAACATCGAGCAAAGTTTTGATTCTGACGTCTGTAAAACATACATTGCATCATCTTAGAAGCAGTTTGTCCCTTCCTATCATGTTAACTCGAATAGATTTTCATTTAGACATTTGTTAACTGTACGAAAAACCGTATTTCAGGAACAATTACAGTTAACAAATCAACAAATTGAAGCAAAAAATATTTTAATCGTTTTTACAGTACTATCAAACATTAATTATGTACATTAGATTCAGTTCAGGGTATTAAATAATTATCTTAAAAAAAATTATCATTCACGTTTTTAACACGTTGATAATGAAAAAAAAAAAAAAAAAAAAAAAGAATTGTCTTCAAATTTAATTTACAAAATAAATCGAACCAACCCTCTAAGGCGAATACATTTTTCGCTCGGCATCCTTCATTAATCCTTGGTAAAAATTTTCCAAACTTAGCGGGCAAAGATAAATTTAGCAACAGTATCAAATACAACGATACGATATAACGATAATACACATCATTTTATTCTCTATACGTACGATGCGCCGATGGTTTTTTTTTTTTTTTTTTTTTTTTTTGTACCTGACACGCTACAGATATGTAGCCACTGATGAACACACAAATTCACCTGTGCATTAGAAGAAGCGTAAAATTTGAATAGAAATAATAAAATTAGTCGATAATGCAATGCAGAGAGATAAACTTGAAATTTATGCGCGAAATAGCGCTTAAAATTTTGTGCATGTTAAGTTGCACGCACCTACACACCTAAATATACTTATTTATATTGTAACACCGAGGCGATAAATACAAACTTTCTGGCGCATAAATGAGTAATACTTTGATACTTAAACCGATGCTTGCACGTACGATATCGCGTGTAAGTACGTAGATGTTCCTGTTGAAATCGACTCGTGTGTTTGGCGAAGGACCGAATTGCACGAATCAGTTGTACCGTGCACGGGTTGTTTTTCGCGATTATTTGCCGGTAAGGTATACGTTACACGTACACGAGAAAAATGTATGCGAAATGATATTTGATAGCCCGATCGAGATGACCGACTAAATAATTAAAGGTGCGCAATGCTAAGTAGATATACATTTTGTGACAAAGATTTTTCCTCTTACCGATCGGAAATCTGTTGTATTTTATAGAGACACGTAAATTTTTTTTTTTTTTTTTTTTTTTTTCCTCCCTCGAAGCAATAAACAAAGTTACCTGCACTTAATTATCAGAGCCCATACTTGAGTGGTGGGTCTGTAAACGCGATCCCGTAAAATTTTTCCTCCAACTTAAAAAAAAAAAAAAAAAACTCAGAGTACTCCCAAGCAACAACACCACACCCGGCACAAAGCAGACCGGCTTCCAACAACGATAACCCAAACGAGGGCTATTCTATTCTTATCCCCCGTTGCGTTCGTTCTGATGCGTATATACGCGCGCGTTTGTTGATTTTTTTTTTCTCTCCTCCTCCTCATCCTTTCTCTCTCTCTCTTCTCTATCCTTTTGCGCGTGGCTCTGCGTCTTATCACTACCGAGCAATTAATCACCGAAGCTTCTTTCTTGCGCCTGGGTTCGTGCGCGCGTCTACAATATATACCTACCACGCAAATACGTCCCATATACACTCATGGGTATAAGTACCATATGCGTGTACAAGATCGTGATGTTTATTAACATCAATCCGAGTCGAGGGCTCTGTGTGTGTATGTATATATATATACCATAAGAGGGCGAGATGTGAGTATGTGGACAGATAGGCTTGGCGCGGTGCACCTATACGTGCTGGAGAGACGAAAAATTGAAAGAAAAAAGGGTACCGTAAATAGTCGAGATTGAGAATAATCGTCCGAGTCACTGTGCGATGGGGCTACATACTTTGTATACTCGCTTGTGCGTGCAGGCACCCATCACTCGTTGCTTGTATATATGATACGCTTGTGCTCCAGTTGCAGAAAAAATNTTTCCAATTTTTTTTTTTTTTTTTTTTTTTTTTAATTGTAATTTTTTCTAACTAGAAATATAGAAATGATGAAGAAAACATAAGACCCAAGCAAGTACACTTGAAAATATTAGTGTGTATATAACAAGATCGTAATGATCGAGATGATCGTTTGATAAATTGGATCATAGATCGATTTTCTACGTTAATTGACTAATTTATCTAAATATGTGGACAAAAATAATAGACTTTCGTGCTAAAATTAAAAAATGTACATATGTCACTGGAATTACTTTTTATTAACACTATGCATGCAAAAATTCAGCCACTAAGTGTACGTGCGGTAAATAATGTGTTTTGGAACTCAAAGAAATACATACAATGCATAATCAATTTTTTTTTTGATTAATAATTACATAAAGACTTAGTTGCAATGACATTGTGCATTTTAATGTAAGTTATTGAAATATCACGATCTAACTAAAAATTATTTTGTTGGTAATCTAAATTGGCAGGTTCAACATTGTTAATAAATTTAAATACTTATGATTTAGGGTATCAAGATGTTTTTTTTAATTGGACGTGAATAATGTTAATTGTAATGATTACTGTGTATTCTAGAATCTGTGGGCAAAATTCAAGTAACAAGATAGAAGTTTGATAAGAAGATGTAGAGCAAAAGAGATTTAATAATTAAAATAAAAGCTTTAAACTCCAATTAACTGTTAATTACATTGTGTAAAATAATTTATTTAATGTTTAACTGCAAATTTATAATTGTTTTTCATTACCCTTTTTGTAATTTTATTTCACTGATGCTAAGCTATTGGCATACTGGAATTCCGAGCTATTTTCATATTCACACATATCTAAAGCGATTTCACAGCTTTCACGCACAACACGTTTTTCGTCCTTCAAGTAATTTTTTAAAATGTCAAAACAATAAGGCGTTGCAATAGCTCCGAGAGCTTCAGCGCACTCATGCCGCACCATTTCGTTTTCATTGGCATCTTCAAGTGTATCTTTTAAAGCAGGTACACTTGCTTCTTCTTGCATTTGACCAAGTACAAATGCGACTTCATGCTTAAATAGTGCACTACCAGCCTTTAGTCCTTTTATAAAGAATTTAAATCGTTATGAATTCTTAGATAATTATCCATGATTTTATAAATTTAAGCAAACTTATCTACCAACCTTTGGCAAGAGCAAGCACACTTTCCTCAGTACAGAGATTTCTCAGTGAAAACATTGCTCTGTATCTGTCAAATAAGGAAGCATTCTCATCCAATAGGACTTTTGTCAATTCATTCACATCTTTCACTTCAGCAGGTGGAGCTGGATCAATTGATGCATAAGGATTTTCTGACTGATTATGATCCTTGTCATTGGCACTTTCGATCCATTTTAACCTCCTCAAAGCTAATCCACAGGTCTCTGCAACTTCTATCACTTTATCCTTGCTGTATTCTTCTAAAACAGGTATGACGCTAGTATCACCTATTGCTCCCAGTGCTTCTCCTAAAAATTAAAAACCTTACCTCAGTAATGAAATTTCATGAAAAAAAAAAAAAGAAATTATTTTGAAAATACAATACTCACCAGCCTCATGCCGCACCATAGGTTCTTGATTGATGTCTTTTAAAACCTCTACAAGTACTGGAATAGCACTAGAGTCCTGCATTTGTCCAAGACAATATGCAAGTTCATGTTTTAACAATGCTGAAGGATCACAGAATCCCTTTTGAATTTGTTCGATTGCCAAATGTCCCCCAATGTTTTTCAAAGTAAATAAAGCACGAAATCTTTCCTTCAGCGGTTTACTTTCATCGTTTAAAATTTTGCCTACAGATACAATTTCTTTCTCTTGAAAGGTCATTTTGATTACTCCGGAATAAACTGCTCAGAACGTGGAAATAAATGTTTCATCAAAGTAAGATTTACAGTGTTTTAAAGGAAAATGATTGAAAGCTTTTACATTTAAATTACAAATCAGTTGAACGCAATTACACAGTAACTCTTTTTTTGTCAATAAACTTTTGAATAGATGAAAATTAAACGTGTAGAGATATTTATTGCATGGAGTGAATGTAATGTACGTACATACAAAAAATGAAGTAAAGTGCAGCTTTTCAAAATATGCACAAGTAGGTGTATGATCCTATTTACATATCTACATCATGGAAACGTCATAAAAATTCTAAATTTTGGTTTTACATCCAAATGGAAAATCTACAATCATCGTAACACTTAGAAATGAACATCATTCATGAAACTAACCTCAGTGAAACGTAAATCCGTACATCAAGTTGTCATGTGTCATCGTATATAAAACATGGCAACAGAAATGATGGTCCTGTAACACACGAATTTTCGGGTCAAATAAAACGTATGATGTAGGTTGTACATGTAAAAGGGCACATGCCACTTTCTATTTACGGGAGCCCGGTCAAGACATCTGCATAAAAACGCATAAGCAGTATAAATATACTTATAAGAGGTCGATTATCGGGTAATAAAAATTATTTTGTATCTATAAAATTAGTTGCGGCTGGTTTATAATCGATTGTACGGCTCTACTATAAGTAGTAATAATTATTTGGATCAGCGCCATCTAGCGTTGCGGATTTCTCAACTAAAAAGTGGCCCTAAAATTCTCAAGGAGAGCTTTAGGTAGTTTAAGTCCTAGAGCCATTTAGTTAATTATAAACCAGCCGCAACTAATCTTATAGATATATAATAAAAATTTAACGTTGTCTGCGCTGTTGGCGGCAAGTTTTCAATTTATCTTCTACCCGAATATCAACCTCATATATTTATACTTTCGGGTAAAAGATAAATTGTAAACTTGCCGCCAATAGTGCAAACAACGTTAACTTTTTATTTTATATCTATAAGATTAGTTGCGGCTGGTTTATAATTGATTAAATGGCTTCAGACCCTACAGCTCTGATTGAGAATTTTGGAATGGAATTGAGAATACGGCCATGTCATGGAGTCTTGAACTTCCAGTACCAGCCATAAGTAGCCTATATGTGACTCATGTGAGTGCGAGTGAGTGAGAACTTGAAAAGCAAGAACATATCCCACAAAACATTAAGGTGACAATAAGACATCTACACGACATCATTGAACTGTCAGCTGATATCTACCGAAGTTATCAAAACTACATCGGCAAGATGTCAAATTGACGCCAAAGCATTGTCGATAAGACATCGTATTGTTATCAGTTGTCAGCAAACAAACATCAGCTAATGACAACTAATTGATAACGTTTAGACGTCTGCTGTTGTCATACCGTAAATGTTTTTGATCTCTTATGGATGTCTTTTGAGCAAGAATTAAGGATGTCTTTTAGATATCTGTGGTGCTAAATTCAATGATATCTTACAGATATCTGCTGTGTAAATTAAATGATATCTTGAGGGTATCGTTTAAATAGTATTAAATAATATAATAGTAGCATTTACGCAACTCAAAGAACCACAGATACCTTTAAATTGAACAAATTTATAATTCATTTGAATAATGGCCTTTAAATTATAAATTAATCAATCAATTCATTCAATTCAAAGGTATCTATAGTTCTTTGAATTGCACGATGCCTTCATTATAATAGATATTTTTAAAAGTGTATTTTTTACAATTGTTTTTTTACGATTACAAAATACTTTATACTTATGTCATACTTAAGAATCACTGGTTTAAGCACAATTAGAAAATTAATCACAATATAGGCTGTTGATTGTTTCCTCTCTTTTTTTTACGCAACCAATCTTTAATGCGTTCTTGTACATCTGTTACAGTAGATGCAATTTTTTTTCGTGTAGCACCTATAAAAATGTTAACGATTAATAAATTTTAAAAAATACATAAGTTTTCAGAATCAAAATACATACTTATGATTATCGATGAAAAATGGAGATCCTTTACAGCAAGAGTTCCATGAAAACTGTACCAAAAGTTAGTTGACGACACAGTTTATGTTATAATGGTAGGTATAATCTTATTTATAGTATTAGATAAACTTATTCCTCCCAGGCTTAAAATTTTTTTTTCCTAAAGAAAAATATTCAATGTTTTTTAGTTATAAATGCTTAAACTAGAACTAGAAAATTTGTAAACAAACCAAATACTTACAAATTGAGATGACAAATTTTGATTTAATAGAAGGTCTTTATCAAAATTTACTAATTCCACTTTTGAGTTGAAAGAAGAAGAGCCAGAGAGCACAAAAATTAATAAAAGATTAAGTGTATAGATTTTATTGAAACAAATAACACAACCTTTTGATGATGCCTCTGACGAAGAGAGCTGGACAAAAAGCGAACGGGATCCGATGTGGCCTGCTTGACAGCTGATGCAAGAAAGAAGGAGGTTATAATCCACATATGAGAACCGTGCGCCCCTTATATATATACCGCAACCAATCGCACCGGCTTTATCATAATGATGTCTGAATAAGATAAAAATATTGATATCATTTTTACTTATCGTAAGTTATCGTAATGTTATCATTTTCTGCATTAAATATGGTAACTCAAAAATTGTTTTTTCGATAACATTTTGACAACACTTAAAAATGACATCGGTCAAAAAATATAACTCTAAGTTGTCTTTGAAAGTTATCACATAGACGTCTTTTATAAGACAACTATAAGGCATCTTTTCTTTCGATAACGTGGACATAACTTTAAAAATAATTTTTTCGATAACATTTTGACAACGCTTCAAAATGATACCAGTAAAAAAGATAACACTTAGTTGTCTTCTAAAGTTATCGCGTAGACGTCTATGAAAGACAACCATAAGACATCATTTTTCGATAACTGTTCTCTATATAACTAATTGATATCTTTTAGATAACTATAGATGTTATCAACAAAATAGACAGTGTCGGTTGTCACCTCAATGTTTTGTGGGATTACTCTCTTTCTCGTACGTACACGAATATATGGGCTGGTCCTGAAAGTTCAAGACTTTATGTATACGTATAGCCTAAGGGAGTCCCTTAGGAAATTTAGGGAATTTAGCTTTTTAGACTCCACATTGTAATGTACGATAGTACGTAACAAATCAATAACATCATTTATCGATGTATATATAATAGATCTATGTAACTTTTAATCCAGCGCCATCTAGCGTTGTGATTTTCGGAATGTATTTGTCTAGGGGAAATCGTTTTGAGAAAAAACCCTAGATTTTAGTGCGATATATATTCGACCTAGGGTCTTCAGCCAGAAGGAAATCACTTTATCGAGAGATCGTACTGTCGGTACTGATGCAGAAAACGGGCCCTGCCGTACCGATAGTTTACTTACTTACCCGTCAAAGGTATCTTCCCTTCACATTGTCGACCGTCGGTAGGACAGGGTTCACTGAATCCAACGGCATCTGTATAGCACTAAAATCTAGGGTTTTTTCTCAAGATGATTTCCCCGAGATAGATACATTCCGAGATTCCGAAAATGGCAACGCTAGATGGCGCTGTTCATCTTCATAGTGATATTTTTTCTTGTGGAAGACCCTAGGTCGAAAATATATAGCACTAAAATCTAGGGTTTTTTTCTTAAGACGATTTCCCCTAGATGGATAAATTCCGAAAATCACGACGCTAGATGGCGCTGATACACTTAATTTACAATTTTTTTTCTTTTGCTGTAATTGTAATTGTACCTATATGTATGTTGTATTATTGCTGATTTGGTGTACGCGGAGGGGAGTATAAGGGTAATAATATGATTAATTTTTTTTATATTTATACTGTCAAGTGACTTGGGTGATAGCGGTGGTGGCGTTATGTCGAAAATGCGAGTCCAGGATAAGGACAACAAGACCTTGCCAGATAAATTGAGACAGTTTTTTCGAATCAACAAAGGTTAGTTGAAGTAAAGTAAGGAGCATTTTTGGTTATTTAAATTTCTCGTATTTTATTATCCTTTTTCTGGGACGTCCAGGTAACTTTAAAAGCCGAGAGGATATTACTCTAACGCACAGCATCGAAAAGGAGATTAGCTCAGACAATCCAGTTCATTGTCGTACAAAGGTGATTAGAGATTTAAGCGATGCTGTGCTCAACAATCAGTGGGAGGATGTAAGTTGCAATTCTTCTTAATAAAAATTATATATTAGTTTGTTTACTAAATTTTGTTGACATGAGAAATTTCTGCTCTAGTGTGCTGCTGAGAAATTATGGTATTTGGTCCATGATCTAATTGGACAAGACGTTTCCAGAGAGCACAGGCATGTAACTCTGCACTTTTTAAAATGTCTCATTCAAGGACAGTTTTCGAGACTCTCGTCTCTCATGAGAGTTAAGTTTTTTAATGTCATTAAGGGCCATGATATACCTGAAGATATTGAATTAAGGTAAGACGAAATTTTAGATTTCTCTGAAACCAATCAAGCTTAAATCGTTCTCATTTTTACAGGCTTGAATTATTACAAACTTTAACGGAAAATGGAAAAAATATTACACATTTGGAAGAAAAAATGGGTCCTTTCCTTCTTTCTTGGATGCCAACGGTGACGAGTTCTGATAACAAGAGAGGAGCGGAGTTCTTGTCTCTGCTTGTAAATGTCATTAAATTCAACTCAGCATGCATCGATGAAGATATCGTATCAGGATTTGTTCAGTAAGCTCTGGAAATTTTGTCTACCATGATCATAACGAATAGTAATCATATTTACATAAATTTTCAGGTATATTTGTTACCTGTGTTATTATAGTAATGACACAGAAGTTGTTTCAGCAAGCTTGGAAGCTTTAGATACAATCGTGTGTTACAGCAAATTGCAGCCAGATTCATTACAGACATTTATCATAGCCTTGTGTCGTAGTGTTAATGTTGAATCTTACTGTCAGATGAGCTGGAAGGTGAGTTGATTCAAGGAAATATTGATTAAAAACATTTTATGTTATTATACCTCTTTTTTTTAGATAATGAAAAACTTACTAGGGACACACATGGGGCATTCTGCATTGTACAAAATGTGCTATTTATTGCAAGAGCCCAATTTTCAAAAAGACGTACGACTTCTAAGAGGAGCCATATTTTATATAAACATGGGCCTTTGGGGTTCACACAGAATACCAAAACTCAAGTGCAGTCCTTCTTCTGTTCTACCATCGTTTTCTGAAGCTCTACTATGTAATCATCCCATCGTAATGTATGAAGTTACATTATCTATTCAAAGATTGGTTTACAAATACGGTGTTGAGATCGAGCAGCCAACTTGGAGCATCATACTAAAAATTATTGAACAAGTGATCGCACACACAGGTAAATAAAGCTGGAAAGGTTCTTATCCAAGAAGTAATTATCTAAGCTTTTTTGTTATTTATATTTTCTCAGAAAGCAGTAATCAATTAGCTACAAAACAAGTTTCAACAAGCTTGCATGAAACAATCAGTAGCATTGAAAGCCTCTTGGATAGTAATAGTTACAATGGAAACATTCAAAGCTTTTACGAACTCGTTGAACGTTGTTCTGATGCAAGACCAGTTAGTTTCAGTTAGCATTCAGTTTTTTTCTGTTTTTTTTTTTTTCAAGTTTATTAAAAGTCCCTCTTTATAGGAAACTTCAGTACTTAAGCTGATTGATTATAGAGCTTCTTTAATTAGCCCGACCTGCCATCAGTGGCAGTGTAAATTGAGCTCACTAATGGAACATTACTACAAAATTGAAACAAGAACTAACGTCAGAGTTAAAGCTCTTGACGTTTTATCAAATATCATTCAAGTTAATAAGTCTAGATACGAAGATGAGCTAATAGAACGTATTGTTGTGCCTCATTTGCAACACTTGGAAGCAGATCCAGATACAACAATACGTATTATTGGTGCCCACTTGCTGATTGATATTTGTATGGAATGTGAGTCAAAAAGATGCTTAGAACTGTTAGATATCTTAGAGAAGGTAAACTTTTGGATACTTTAAACGCAAGAAACATTACAAACACAATTTTGTTTAACATCCAAATCGTTTTTCGGCAGCTTATCAACAAGCCATTCACATTAGATGCACCAGTACAAGATGGTATCGACATAAAAGATGTCAAAGCGGCCGTTGTTGGTGTTATTAAAATTCTAACACAGAAAGTATATCGTTTACCGTCCATTCATGCGATTCGCGCTTATCAAGTCCTTGTGAATCATTTAGAACTACATTACCAGGATCCAAAAGAAGTTTTCAGGGATGTTCCTACGATTCGATTCCTGGTCAGTTTTTGACGTTGCAGGATCTTGTAAGCTTTTACCAAAATCTTTTTGTCCCTATTTAGATATTTGAGTGCTTTCTCAAAGGCAGAGCCAATGGCTTGGGTCACTTAGGTTTTCCAGATCCTTCGACCGGCGTTGTCAACCGCTACAGTCCTTACTTAGTATTAGAAAATAATACATTAAACTCAAATACTAGTAGTGCAAGTCCACCTCCGGCTAGTCCTGTTCCCATACAAAGTACATCTCAGATCACCAATATATCACTGGCTCAGGCGTGTAAAGCCGTAACCACAGCTATAAAACAGGAAAAAGGTAAACATTTACCTTTTAAGATATTTTACTTAAAAAAAAAAGAAAAAATGCTAATATTTTGTTGCATTTTATAGACTGGCAAGTTTTACAGTTAATTTTAAAAGAGTTGCCTCATCTGATGCAAAACAGAGCACTTATATTGTCTCGACACACAAACGATATTGCTGCTTTAACAAGCGCACTGTGCTCTATGGTTTGTGACGGGTTTTACGAGGAAATCTACAAATTCAATTTTTCATGAAAATACATAGATGAATTTTCTTTCAGATCGATGACAAAACTTTCAAGCCAGCAGATTCATTGCAAAATGTCTTCAACAATGTGCCTCCTAAGTTTACTTTTTCTGAATTTCGCGAATATTTTTACCCAGTTCTCTCCGCTTGCACGTCTTACCATGCACACTTTGATTTAGGCACTCAACAACGTCTCATAAAGTGTTTTGAAGTAAATGCAGTTTCATTTTTTTTTTTTTTTTTTTAACTCATGATTTTGAAAAATTATTCTCAATTATCTTTTAGGACGGTTTAAGAACTACGTGTGCTGGCCAATGCGTTACAAGTCTCATGACCTGCACTTTAGAAATGCGCGATACCATGAGCAAATTGGTATCTAATGTTCTTTTAAGCTTATCCAAGATATCCGATACAGTTCACATTGCAATTCCAATATTGGAATTTCTTTCAAGTAAGCCATTATAAAGTGGTTTAAAAATCATTCAAAAGTACCAATGCCATTGTTTACATTACAATTTTTTTCAGCGCTCACAAGACTTCCCAAAGTTTTTGCGAGTTTCACTGAAGAACAGTACATGTCGATATTTGCTATTGTACTCCCATACACCAAGCCAACAAAGTACAATCATTACACGGTATCGTTTGCGCACCACGTTATTGCTGTATGGTTTTTAAAGTGTCGTCTCCCACTAAGGAGAAACTTTGCGAAATATATAACGAAAGTAAATAATTCTTTATATCATAGTTGATGTGAATTTCATGCGATTCGTATGTTTAATGCAATGTTTTACAGGGTTTATATTCCAATGCCAAAATGCTTTTAGAAGAAGGAAACATATCGAAACCCGACATTAGTCTGAGTAATGAAGATTCATCAAATAGACAACGAAGTTCCAGCTTGACGGAACAAGTAATTAGACTTTTAATTGATTGAAAATAATGACTTTTCACTGAAAAACTTTATTTTATTAACATTTTTTGTTGTGTATCAGGGAAGTAGAGCACGCAAGTTTATCAAAGAGAACAGAGCACTAGATTTGAAACCCCCGGTTGATAAAGCTCTGATGAATTTTCACATTGAGCTAACGGAAACTTGCATAGATCTAATGGCCCGCTACACTTACTCTATGTACTCTGCGCGTCCTAAAAGGTATGTATAAAATGCAGTTAATAATAATAAAATTTAACGTCTTTTGAAAATAGTTACAATTAATCAAATTTTTAGGATACCAGCGGCTGATTTCCTTCTAAAAGAGGGTTCCTCGGTGACGTGGATACTCGGAAATAAGCTAATCACAATAACAACGAGTGGTTGCAGCAACAAGGCCATGAGAGGTCCATTGTGCGACAATTGCTGGGCTGCGTGTAAGACTAGTCCTGAGCACACGCGTTCGAGCCACTCAAGCCTACTGCGTGCTTTGAGCATCGACGGTACCCGAGAAGCTGACAAACTATCTCGACAGTCGTCAGGTGGTCACGCAAGCTCTAGTGCCAATACGGCCGCAAACTCGCCGACCGAAGAGAGTAAACGCTCGATCGACGAAGCTGATACTTTCAAGCCAAAAATAGACTCCGGAGTCGATGGTGCCGATCGAACCGAACAGCAACAGCAACACAGCGAGACTTCCAAACTCGAGCAGATGATGAACACGGATAGGCAGGAGGAGCACCAGCCGTGCGCATGCTGGTGTCAAGGCTGGGCGGAAATCTACGTAAGGAGACCCACTGGCGACATGTCCTGGGTCACGCGGATACAGAATTCCCTGCACCTGGACACGCCCTACGACTTTCCCTTCGACAACATCACTGCTCTCTACATGCCCACGGCCGAAATGATACCGCAAAAGAGCCAGGATCTCTATTCCGAGTTTTCGGAGGATGAAATACCGGTTAGTATATTCATTGATACTTTTATGACGGTAACTTACGAGTGATCCTTGTAGGATTCAACGGAGAAGAATCTCGAGTCACTTCCAAACGAGACTGTCAACATACCTAAATCCGGAGTCGCGTCTTCGTCGTCAGGGCCGATTGATATTCCGAGTTCTCCTGCGCGGCCCAGCCCATGTCCTCAAGATAGTCTTGAAAGCTTGGAAGAGGGTGAAGATGGTATAAAAAATATATACATATCCCAGGTTCCCCAAATTTTTAATACTTATAAACAATCATCGTCTTCCTTGGCATTACAGAATCAAGAAAATCTCGAAATCCAGTGCGCAGATCAAATTCTAGTCCCGAGATGAGTTCGAATTGGAAAAATCCATTTTTAAGTAAAGATAAACTTGTTTTACCTCAAGTTGACAGAGACGACCAAAATAGCGATATGGATGCCAAATCAGACGCCGATCTTAAAAAGCATCTTAAGAATACATACTCTAAAGATATGAGGTATGTATCGGGATTGTATGCATCACTTACATGATCAATACAGTTTATTGCAATATTCAATTTTTTAGAGTTAGTTGTGAAGCAATACCTGAAGAAATATCAGGAGTGGGTACAACGCCACCCTCGACTGAAAATGCTGGGGAACATCGAACGGGATTGTTATCACAGAAATCTTATCCCGGTGCTAGTCAGGTGACGCAAACTGCAAGTCTAGCCACAACAAGTATGACAGTACCTCCGTCGCCAACTGCTACTCAGGTAAATCTTGAACATGTGAAGAATTTTTTTTTTTTTTTTTTTTTTTTTTACGATAATTTATCACCTTTTGTCAGCCTTCTACAAATCTATTATCATCAAAGCCACCTCAATCACCAACTCAAGCTTATCCTCGACCCATGGGGCTAGATTCGAGCTACAATCGTCAGTCATGGATTGTAGATTCCAAACCACCACTTGGTCGAAATATTCTGATTGACAAGGTAATTTTTTAATTTTTTTTTATTTGAATTTAATACTTTTTTCAACATTGAATATAACGGTATCATAAAAATTATTAGCTTCGAGACGAAAAAGCTGATCCCTCGACTCTGCCACCTCTTTCATTCCGAGATCGTGGTTACACAATATCTGTAATGAGTCCCGCAAAAATTCGTCGCAATAATTCACCTCGAATAAAAGATCCACCGTCTCAAGTAAATTTATCCAACAACAGAAGCGGCATCAATCCTAGGTAATAATCATTCTTATAAACTGCATAAAATGAATCCTGTTTTTTCTAAGGATATTTTAAAATTTACTTGTAGCTTCATATTTTTGCAATTATATCATTCGACGCACTTTGGGCCAACTGTGGAAAAGCCATTGTTAGTTCCGCAAACTAACGCTCTCTTGCTGACTTCGATTACAAATTTAGACAGGATACAACCTTATGAGACACACAAAATTGGAATTCTGTATGTCGGTCCTGGTCAGGCAACGAATGAAATAGACATTTTAGCGAATCAACACGGCTCATTACGTTACGCACAATTTTTACAAAGCATTGGTACCCTTATAAGACTGAAAGACGCAGATGAAAGTATATTCCTTGGAGGTCTCGATCGTCACGGTGAAAATGGAAATTTCGCCTACATCTGGCAGGACGACGTTACGCAAGTTGCATTTCACGTTGCAACATTGATGCCCACTAAAGTAAGTGATCCAAAGTGCACATCAAAGAAACAACACATTGGCAATAATTACGTCACGATTGTGTATAACGAAAGTGGAGAGCCTTACAATATCCAAACTGTAAAGGTAAAATTTTTTTTTTATTTTTCTCAATCAATTATATATTTAACATTCCCATTACGCAAATAATTGAATTCTAGGGTCAATTTAATTATGCTTGCGTTGTAATCCAACCCCTTGATCACAGTACAAATCAAGTAACAGTACAAGCTAGAGAAGAGCTTAGTGAGCATATTGGGCACAGTGAACCTAAAATTATATCTGACCAAAATTTGGCAATTTTATCTCGACAACTGGCTCTACATGCAAACGTAAGAAGTTTTTTTTTTATTGTTACTTTAAAATTTATACATTAAATGAAAATTATTATTAAAAAAAAAAAAAAAAAAAAAAATTTAGTTGGCCTCTCAAGTGTGCTCTTCTTTGAAACAAAAGGATCGCAATCCTTATGCATCCAATTGGTTGGAGCGTCTTCGACACATTAAGCGCTTAAGAAAACGAATTTTGGAAGAATTGTTGAGAAGAAACCCCAACGATAGTGGAATAAAAAATTTGCTGAATGATGAACATAAATTAAGAGTTGCTGATGATTTTGTTCAAGACTTTACAGATTTTACAACTTAAAATTTTTTATATAAAAACAATATGTGATAGCAATTTTACTACTAGCATATGAGAAGATGATGGAGATGCTAAAGAAATAAAGTTATTTAATGTAATGATTTTATTTTTATAATACAGAACTCTATCCAACATCCCGAAAAAATAGGACATTGACCTAGTACTGTAGAAAAAACTGTGGATGATGATCAAAACTTTGAATTTCCCGCTTTCTATTTGAAACAGTTTAGGTATCTTTAGGGATGAGAGATCTCTCCAAGATCATGTTAGGCCTCGATTAATAATTTTGGGTACCTTTGCCAGAGACTGTCTTTGCCCTTAGTTATACTATAACGAAACAATAACGTATTATAATAAAATAATTACAAACTATAACGCCAAAAAACTATGTTACATTCCTTAACTTAATTTTGCACCATTATTAAAAATAAATAACGAGTTAATATTTTTTACACTCCAATAAAATGTATAAATGTGTTGTGTTGATTTGTTTACTCCTAAGCAGTATTTATTGCGATACTGATATTGAAGAAAAGGAGGGTGTGAAATATGCAAACAAATGCGAAGGTACATAAATTTATTAGTCACTTACCATTTTGGATACGTAAATAACAAAAAAAACTTTCTTCTAGTTTGCAAAGTAGTTGCTGTAGAGTTGGAAGCTAGGCTCGAAGAAACGGGAAAAACCAATGATGTTTTAGAAATTGGTTATTCGATAGACGATGTCGCCCCGAAAAAAAGAAAAGAGTACAGAAAATCGTTAGTAATTAATACATTATTCTAAAAAGTTTGACAAAATTCGATCGAGTTTTGAATTTTTTTTTTTTTTCTTTCAGGGAACTGAGATTAATTGAATCTCTAGAAAATGTATGCAACAGAATTTTAGAATATAATATACACAAGGAGAGAACAGATAGTACAAGATTCTCTAAGGGCATGAGTCAGACTTTTAAGACGTTGCACGGACTTGTGTATGTGTTGTTTGTTGGCTTTGTAATTTTATTTAAACACATTTACATTATAAAATTTACTTATATCTCTAATAACTGTTTAGAGATAAAGGAGTAAAAGTAGAACTAGGAATCCCATACGAACTGTGGGACAAACCCTCTGTTGAAATAACGACATTGAAAAATCAATGTGAGAATTTGATTGAAACTTATGAGAGTGACATTGAATATTGGTACTACAATCACCAAGGACAAGTTGCTTTAACAAAGTATTAATCATGTTTTTATTATACTCTTGTATTTTAAACTATTTTACTCAACTATTTTACGATTTAAAAATTGCATTTCACAGATTTTTATGTTCTGAGCGAGCATTGGAAAAAGATGACGATAGTTGTTTAAGGGAAAAAGGTGATACTGGAAAGGTCAAAGACACAGAATCCAAAGAAGCCATCCAAGAGGAATTGTAAATATTCTTGAAAAAAAAAAAAAAAGATATACTTTTATTTCAAGGCAGATTTTTCTACTGACTATTTTCAACAGACTACAATAAAAGAATGTGATATCGTTAAATTTATTCCATTATCGACTTATCTTTGTATGTACAATATTGATTGGAAACCATTACAATATATTATAACAGGAAGAGACTATGTAACTTGGTATCTGTTTTGTTTTATTTTAAACAAGAGCTATCACATCAGTTACGAAAACGATGATTTTTATTTAAAAACAAATTATAATAAAAAATATACTGTCTAGACCAGCACTTTCACAGTTTCCTTTTTCTTCTCTCCCTTCTTCCATACAGGCTTGCCTCTAAGCACTCTCAGTCTCTGGTACTCCTCTTTAAAGTCTTGATGCTCATCTCTGAAGAGGCCATACCATCGCAGGTGTTTCATTAACACGTGTGATTCTCTGAGTCGTGGGTAGTACTCAACAATCTCTGGATTCTTGTTGACAGGCATGGCGCTAAACAACTCGACGACTCTCATTGACTTTTTCGTCGTAGGTCTGGCCACCTCGCCAAATATCCGATTGCTCAATCTGTTCATACGCTTCGCGTAATTACTCGTTACAGTAGCAAGATTTATGTACTTATTCATTTTTCAGAAAATTTTTTGTATTATTGTTACTGCTCACAGTATACTTCCACAGTTTGAGGTTGGAAACACTTTGTGAGGAATTATTCCACATCGGTCGTACGCAGACGTGTAATAAAATCTGCAATGATAAAAAGTAATTAACTATAATACATGAAAGTTTAGTCAATTCTGGTGTTGTTTAATTGATCAACAATACTTTACACACAAGCAGATGACCGAGTTAGTTATTCATTCATCTTCTTCCCCGGCAATTTGTCAAGATAATAAGATAAAATAAATGATGGCGGTAAAACTCGGTATCTTTTACGAGTCATTCTTTTAAATTAAAAAATAATAATTACTTTTAAAAAATATTATTTATTCTATAATTTTTTTACATTTATCATACAAAATTAACGTAACACTTTTTTTTATAAAATAAGGTTTTATAACAATATATTGTACTTATGTATTAATACTTATAAATCTAAATCAGAGTATTTTAGACTTAATCATTGAACTTTTAAGATTATTAATTGACATCATAATGAAAATAGTTGAAATCTCAAACATGTTGTTGCTGTTGTTGTTTTTTTACATCAGTCAAGCTTGAGTTTAATACTGTAAAAATTATTAGTTTTGCATTTTGAATCGGATAAACATCTTTTATGTACAAATGTTTAACATAAAATTTTGCGTAAAGCTATATGCTTAAAATTAATAAAATTGCGTAGGTCTTTTGTGTCCATCAAAATAGTTATTGTCCAAATTAATTTTATAAATCTAATATAATACGACGGCACGATAATTAACGTATATTTAAAAAATTTTAAACGATACAAAGATTTCTCGAAATACTTCACTTATCAGTACATTTAAAAATACCGATTTACTAAAAATATTTTTTCTTTCCAGAAAATAAAGTATAGTTATCTCCAATGAAGTAATCGAAAGCTAAAAAAAAACACGCATTATTATTCGATAGATAAATCCGTCGATTATATTGTATTACTTTTGTCGTTTTTCGTGCTTATTTACATGGCTCATCGAACTTGATTCTTTTAATAACTTCTAGATAAAACTAATTATATACTTAATTTTGATAGATATGTGTTGTAATCATAATGTGTTATAAATAGTAGTTGTTTGTCAATTATCTTGACCGACCAAAATAATGTAAATTTCATTGAAACCCATTACGGAAATGAGAAAGTAATTGAGAGAAGCTAAAAAATGTCGACTGTACACGTAACTAATGATTGTGAAAAAAAAAAAAAAAATGTCCTGACATAATATTTTTTATGTTGTCTCTCATTTAAAAACACTCAGACGCACACGCGCGAACCGATTTAACTGGAAAGGGCAATAAATTAATATACACAGCTCGTTTGATCGGCGATTCCGCATCGTCTGTCTCTCCCTCTCGCGCTCATCATCTGCCAATAAAGTTATTCAACCTCTCAATTGGCACAAACACATACGACCATATATATATATATATTATAATACATTATTGGTCGTCGGAAAGCTTGAAATAAAAAATCGGTCGACGCTTCATGTTTTTTTTTTTTTTTTTTTTTGCAACATCATACGTATACTGTTTGTATATACGTACATTATATATTAATTGCATCGGATTTTGGAAACACACGAGCAACGACGGATGATCTAGGCGGCCGATCCAACGACACCGTTGCTCGCCGATTTTTCGGGCTTCCTCTGGCCAATCCGCTCGGCCTCCTCGATCGTATCCGGCAGCTTCATGCCCAGCGTCTCGGGGAAACTCAGCGACATCAGACCCGCCGTCAGGCCCATACTGCCGAACAACACCAGCGGCAGACCCTCGAATATGTACTTGGCCTGCATTGATCGGCAACAACGCAACAAAACATTTATTGACGACCGTGTCGGGTAAAAACAATTAGTAAGAAAGACTTACCAGTAGGGGCGTCTGGGGCGCAAGGATCGAGCCGATGCGCCCGGTCATGCTGCAGATACCGAGCAACGAGTGACGAAGCGTCGTCGGGAAGAGCTCGGTCGTGTAGACGTACGAGGTCGAAAAGGATATGGATATACAGCCCTTGCCACACACGTACATTACGAGAGCTATCGTGGGCCAAATACCTGCGGAGCCAAAAAAAAAGTATATCGTTAAAAAAACGAACGTGCAGGGTCATTTGGCTCTTTTGTATTTTCGTTGATTTACCGTAAGTGTGCTTCGGGACGAACTGAATGGCCAGACAAAAGAGCCCGCTGAGGATGAAGGAGCCGCACAGGGTGGGCTTGCGTCCGGCCCGGTTGAGCAGGGGCACGACGACGATGTTGCTCGGTATCTCGATCGCGCTGACGAGGATGAAGTTGGTGTACTTGTTGCCGGCGAACTCGGTCGAGTTGAGAGACAGCCCGTAGTAGACGAACGTGTTGGTCAGCCAGCAAAACGAGCAGATCAACAGCCTAAGGAGTATCTTGGGACTGCGCCGGATCTGGGCGATACGCGGCTCGTCCCCCTTGGCCATCGTGTCGCCCTCCTCCTCCTCATTGCCGGACTTTTTGCTCTCCGCTTCCTTCTGTCGGCGAATCGTATGTTGTTTTTTTTTTTTTTTTTTTTTTTTTGTTATATACATATAATGTCGCGTGTGCTTTTGTCTACAAAATAAGATTGATTGTGGTTTCGTTACGGTGTTTGTGCTCTTGAGCTCCAGGAAGGCTTCCTCGGTGATGTCGAGCTTGTTGACCGAGGCCATTTTCCGGTACACCTTTTCGGCCATGTCGCGCTTGTCGTTGGCCAACAGCCATCTAAACAGGAGAAAATTTTTTATTCTTTTTTGTTTTCCACGCAAAAACAGATTTTCCCACAAAATGAAATAAAGAAAAAGGCCAAGCTCACCTCACGGACTCGGGTAGTACGAACATGAGGAAAATCGCGAGCAAACCGGGCCCGTAGATGATCCTCATGATGACTCTCCAATTTCCGACCCACATGGCGATCAAACCGAGCCACATGTTGCCGACCGCGTAGATGCACGCGAGCAACGTGCTGCCCCAGATCCTCTGTTTGACCCCCGTCATTTCCATAGCTGCATGCGTGATTTTATGAAAACAAACTCCATTACAACGAAAACAACGGCAACAAGGATATAAGAAGAAGAAGAAGAAGAATAATGCTTACCGTAGATGAAGGTAGCGCTGTAAATGCCGGCGGTGAAGCACGAGTCGATGAACTCGAAGGTGATGAACATCCAGTAGTTGACGGAGAACGAGTGGATGAGGCCGCTGAGACCGGCAAGGCCGGTTATCGTCGAGAGCACCGTTCTCCGGCCGTACTTGTCCGAGAAGGTCGAGGCAAAAGTCAGGCCAAACAGCTGGCCCAGGTTGTTAAGGGTACCGACCAGGGTGAGCTTCCACCGATTCACGTCGCACGTTATACCCCACTGCCGATCGAAGTACACATAATATATATCGTTGAGCAGGTAAACATTTCTTTTTTTTTCCCCCCCCCCCCTCATTAATTAAGTACAAGGAAAATAAAATCGGTATGTTATACATCACCAGAGAGAGAGAGAGAGAGAGAGAAGAGCACGCAAATCATGCGCCATTCATTCACAATGACAAGACACACTGTACCAATTAAAAAATTCTCTCGCGTCTACCTGTATATGCAGTATATACAATGACGAGAAATACCTTTTAAATTGCCTCGATGCGATATGATACCTGTACATCTTAACGATACAAGCACTCTTACACAATTATATTACTAACGTATCGTTTTCCTTTCGGAAACGATGTACATCCGATTGTTCTCTCTACTTGTGTACCTACATGTAATTGATTGAAATCGCGAAACTGAATGAAATGCACCTATATATACATGCAGGTAATTAGCTGTAATGAGAGAAGCAGTCAGTTGTCTCTCTCTCTTTTTTTTTTCTCCTTATCCTCCTTTGATCCGGTGCAGGAGGAAGCTTCTCGTTGTTGAAAAAAAAAAAAGGATGGGGGGGGGGGGTTTTCAGGATTAAACAAACCAGCCACATGCAATATTATACCTCGTTGTGTATGGTGACCTCGTTGGGATCGTAGACCCAAGCGTCGCAAGGTATCGTCCTGTTTCTGTCGAAGAAGCCCGGATCCGAGCAATCGCTCGTCACCGCTGGTACACGGGCCGGGTAGCGCATGCAATTCTCCGGGGCCAGCGAGTTGTTCAGCCACGACTTGCCCCCGATCGTCGCCGTCTTTGGATCCTCGCATTCCGGAACTAGACACCTGCTCCCAAACAAAAAGGTATAATGTATATACACTCTCATCGATCCACGAGATTTTGCGAGCACACGAAAATCATCGTAACAAATATAACTTTTCATCTCATGCAACTGTCCTTGATCGTAAAAACGCGAGAGACGCACGGTAAAAGAGCACGTTATGAAACCCCAGCGCCGAGTGCGGATATTTGAAGCTATATACCATTGTGTATGTACATTAGGCAACAATAAAACTTTATTGTACGCGCGTATACGGAGAAGCACATGGAGGTGCGTTAAATGTAAATTAACACGTCCCTCTGCAAACAAGTGTACGGGTATTTGTATATCAAAAAAATATTATGCAACAATGCGATCGAGCAACGACTCACCTGTACTTGACTTCGCCGGCGGTGAAAACATAATCGAGCGTAAATCCCGCCGACAGTATGAGCGGCAGCGTTATCAGCGCGTAGATCGTCAACTGGTACTTGCCGAACGTCTCGATGCTCTGCATCTTGTTCCTTGTGTGTTATGGTTATATTTTTGGTGATATATACTTTTTTACCGTTATTACGTATGTATTACGTCAGTCTTCGGGGGCCAAAAACAAATCGTACTTTTTATATACGCGTATCACACAGACAAGGTGTCGTTGAACCGATGATGACGCTGTACCGTTGCTCCCAAACCCTGTAATTTTACGTGTTGGTTTTTTTTTATCCATCGCTTCGTCCGAATTTACCTACGAGTATAGGATTATTGTAATTTACGAGCTTGCGCGTGTACGTGCTTTTTTTTATGGACACGTGGCAATAATGTATACTCGTCGCGCGAGTGTCATAACTTTTGACATTTGTCCTGAGGCAGCTTGCACGCGAGTATAAGATTCAACTTTACGTATAAGTATATTGTTTCTTACGTTAAACTCGTAACGATCGATTACGTAAGCGCCATATGTATATGTACATAATACGTCGATCGACGACTTTTAACAACGATGATATATAGGTAATACTTGTAAACCACTTCATTGTTTTTGCGAGTACACGTGCGCGTTCCCTTTGACATAATATATATAAATACAAATGTTGGGAGCTTTATGTATACCGTACACCCGCGCATCATGTGTATAATGTATACTGTTATCGATCAGCTACATACGCCGTACTGGAATACATAATTGTATTACGTAGGGGGTGGCAAAAAGGAGAGCTTTCGCTGATATATGTATACCTACAGGTTGATACAACGTGCCGGAAATACTTATCGGAAGGGAAGGACTTTCTCTGCATTTTTCGAATTTTGAATCGTCGTCGATACTCGAGAAGCACTTCAACATGCTGTCTTTACTCAAATGTATATGCATACTCACGTCAATGGAATCGTTTGTAAAAATGTATTAATGGGAAAAAAAAACTAAGTTTTTTCTCATTTTTTCACAATTTACTTTGTTCGGTGCTTATAAAATTTACAAATACAGGCAAACAAAGAAATCCTTTTTTTTTTTTTTTTTTCATGGAAGCAGTATTAAAAATTTTGCTGTACCGTACTATTGAAAGCAGAATTGTACTAATAGTGCATAAAAAGAATAAGTATTGTTTAAAAATTTTTCATGAAAAGCGAAAAGTTCAATGGAACGCTTGAGCGGTCGTGTCAGCGAAGCGCGTTCGGTGCCTCCCTCTTTTTCTCTTATCCGTGTCGTATTATCACACGTTTGTATATATTAAACAAATAGATAAAACATGCTCCAGCTGACGCTTTATCTTTGATCTCGGATTAATTGCCGGAGCTATTAACATTTTTTTCGAGATTTTTTGCCGATAAATTCATTTGTTTGATTTTCTTTTCAATACACGATTTATTTTGTACGTAGGTCTTGACACAGTTTCTCGGCACCTACTCACCTGAGATATACTTAGTAAAAGAAAAATAAATGTTTGATTAAGATTTCGATTTGTTTTTGAAAAATTCCTATCAATTATTCTGTTTATTCTTTATTTTCCAAATAAATATATTTCCGAACGATTTAAAATGAATTCAAAGATAAAGTTTTTTTTTTTTTTTTTTTTTTATGTGCACTATATATTTACCCTCTCGCTCTGATGATAAGTACCTATACATTATGTTTTGATAAATCATTCGACTACGATATTTACACTATAGTGACTGTAATTTATACGTATTAAAGTTTCACAAAATTTTGTAAAAACGTGTTTGGAAGCACAAATAAGTATATGTATATTAACAACAAATCTCGTAATTTTTGTCGAAATCAGTGATGTTTTTGTTAATTTTCAACGATAAAACGTTCAAAAGATGACCAACTGATACAACCAAAAACCGGCAAAGTAAGCCAATCGCTCCATCCAACCGCGTCGTAAACATAAACTAAACACACATGCGTTACATATACGTATCTTTGGCAGGAATATAAATCGTGTCATTGACACCATGTTGTTGCGTATTCATAATATATGTATAACGTTACTATACACATGTATAAATTATATATTCTTATACCGTGTATATATGTACATACAAAGCGTCGACGCTTACCGATCAATGAAAGATTCTGATTCGTCACGGTGAGCGCTGTGAACAAAGCGCCGCTACTTTTTTTTTTCTCAACCGCATAATTAATCGGTTAACTGGTCGGTTTTAATCAAGGCCCATTTTTTCTCCTCCAATTTTAACCATACAATCGGCTCAAAGAACTCGGTGTTGCAAGCAATAAATGTTTACTCTGTCGCAACATCGAACGCAAATTGGAGGTGAAAAAGTTATCAAGCACCAAATTAGAGGATAACCAAAAGACAAAAGGGTGGGGGACCCACTTACCGTCAGTTTGAAGGCTCCGCACGTTAATAATATTGTTTCCGACAAACCCACGGAGAGAATACTTGTAGTAAACACACCGCAGAGCAATGTGTTGTGTATATGGCACGTAGAAAACTTTATCACTCGGACATGAATGAAAATACCCGCGTGATATATCTACGGATGAACAAAAAAAAAAAAAAAAAATATCCAAGTCACAAGAGCGTGAGTCCAAAACTCCACTGACGCCCCCACGAGACGAAGCGATCGGCGTGAAGATCGATTCCGTGAAAAAAGAAAATAAAGCCACAAGAGGCCTTTCTCGCCGAAAAATCGGCACTATGGTAAAACGTAAGGAAAAAAAGAAAAAAAAAAAAAAGCCACTATCGTGTAAATAGTGGGCTCGCGTGCAAGTGTATCGATCGTGCGCTTGCGGTGGAATGTATAACGCGCGATAACCGCGCGTCCGGCGGTCCACTCGTCGGCAGCGCGTATGTCCGTCTGTTGCACGTTTTCTGAGCACATATATTATATACGCGGCTGGGGAGGCAGAAGCGTACACTTTGAGTAAAAGAGATGATGTGCCGGCGTGGAAAATATACAGAAAGAGAGTCGATGGGGATACGTGTCGCCTCTATTATATACACTCTTTTAGGTATTTATTTTTTCGAATGCGTGTGACTTGGCGTGTGTCTGAGAGTGTGCGTGTGTTACATGAATGGGCCGTACGTGAGATGGAATAGAATGTTGTTTTCCTATTGTGCATGTAAGAGCAGGGCTCGTTCTTTTTTTCGTAAATACCTCACGTGTCTCGGAATAATGCGCGACTGTTGCCTGCTTCGAGACGGTCATGGTATTTTCTAAAATTTCGTCACAGTTGTTTGGAAATCAGTTCAAATGTGGGCATACATTTTCCAAAGATTTCATACGCTGCGAGAGCTACATTTACATTATAGTTCGTCTTGCATCGGCTCGACAATTATTAATACAAATGATAATCATTGAGTTGCGAGATTCGCTCTCGCGTGCGTCGGTAACAAGTGACGGCAACACGTGAAATCGACGTATACGAGTAATATTATATTGTCTCAATTGTGATTTAATGTATATAGTTAGGTTGTTGCTTATTGTGTACGATGTTTTCGTAAGTACATTTGCTGTCATGTTTCAATACCTTGTCCCCAAGAATAACATATGTCAACTCTTTCACTTTCATAGTTGTGAAATGAAATTATAAAGGTGTTTGATTGTAAAATCGGTATGAAAATCACTCGGGGAAAAAAAAGAAGCATATTTCGGTAAAATATACCACTCGCAGCTGCGTGTCAGTGGCAATGAAAAAAGTCAACAACTGATTAACGAGCTCGAGAACTTTTGACTGTGACGGTTTTCAATCATCTTTTCGAAGTATTGAAATAACGTTTACCCACCTCCAAACAGGAGCGAGAATAAGCAAACAACCGATCGAAACAAATGAGAAAAAAAAAAAAAAAAAAAAAAACAGTAAAAGAAAAGTTTGCGTAAAAGAGCGTGTCATCGTGCACGCACGAGACGTCCAAGTTTCGCGATTTTCTAATAAAAATAATCCCGAGGCTGTACACGAGCGAATAGACCGTCAAACTGGTAAGTACTGGTTAAAACGGCGCAGCTATTTACTACGCGCGCGACTCGGCGCGAGTGAAATTTTTAAATAATGATCATTAGGCGCACCGATGACGAAAAAAAAAAAAAAAAAAAATCTTTAATCTATCAGCCAGTGATTCATCGACGAGCGTTTTATAGGCGCGAGTGAATATACATATATACGTAAATATTCGCTGGCCGTGTAAGCTCGGTTATTTTTACAACTTCGTTTGATTTGAGTAAAAGAGTAGAGACGGCTTTCTCGAACGAATTCTCATTTGCCAACAATATTGTGTGCATCGATTGTTTATTAAAATATGCAAATGCATATAAGTACACACAAGTGCAGCAAATTCGTCGACCTCGCGGCGTTAAAATGAGAAAACATTTTTTTAAATTTATCTACGTGAGTTGTGGTCACTGCTATTATCTTTGACTCCAAGCTTCGTACCTCGTTAACGCGCTTCTCGCTCTCGATTTATTTTCCTCATCTACGGATTATCATTTAGCAATCATGCGGTGTACACGTATCACGTGAGTCCTCTATTCACGTGACGATGGGTTGCTGTTGTTATTTTGTGCTTTTTGATTGAACCATCGTCGGCTGGGCTGCCACGTTATCGGTTAATGAATTTTTTCTTTTTCCTTTGAGCCCCTCGCGTTGACAGACGAAAGAAACAATGAAAAATCTCGTGAGCTTTTGAGGATTTTTTTTTTTTTTCAACATGAGAAAACTTTTTACTTTTCCTGCAGATCGTTTTTTTTTTTTTAAGCACAGCCAAGGTGGTCTTACTTACCGATTGTTTGTACAAGCGATCGATACCTGGTGGAAGAACTTTGTTATTTTTACTCGGTATCGATGACACAGTTTGACACTACACAAGCAGACAGATAAGAGCGCAATATCGTTGGGGAAAAAAAAGTAATCTTTGGGTGAGCCTATCGGATGATCGGTAAAATCATTTCATAGGCGCGAATGGAAAAAGAAGTGTGTTTGTATTAAATAATCAAATTATTTAATATTACATATTAGACGAGAAAAGTGTTACGGCATTGTGCACGGGTTACGATTACGATACGCTATTTATATAATCAAGCAAAATTGACCGATACAATTAAAGTGTTTGAGAATTTTTCATAGGATTCGAACGAATACGCTCGAATGGTTGACGCATTAGCGCGTTTTTTTAGCGCTAATTATACGAGCTCGCGTAAGTATATAATATAATGATGCCTGAGATTCTACGTAAACAAGAGAGTTAATGGGTAATTACAGTAGCGATGCGAACTATACAGGACAATTTTCTCTCTACGTTGGTCATGAAAATTTCGATAATCGACACTAGTACTTATGTGGGTGGGAGCATTACGGCTTTTTACCATCAGACAAACTGAAATTGGGAAAATCAATATCCAATGACTTGTATTGTGGGCAACGCAAATATTTGAAACACCGGCTACTAGATGAGACAAATCATTTTGAGACGAAACGCATTGTCTTAAGTTTTTCTCATGATTTTTCTAAAGAATGTATTTGATAAAATTTAATATAAAGTGCTCGTAGCGTTGAACGACATTTACACGTATAAGCGGATAAAACGCGGCTTTGAGGTTGAACTAATTTAAGGATTGATCAACTGCAGAGATTGCGATACAGAAATAATTGCCATGAAAATCAGGATATTATTTCTGTACCAGAATTTTTTTAAATTTATTTATGAATCGTTGCGTCATTATACGCATAGCATTGATCAGTGTTATTTGTATCTAATATCTTTATTCCCGACAATTTTATTACAATCTAGTCGTACTTTGTTATAAAGTGAAGCTAAATGTTTTGCTTTTAATTTTTTTACCAACTGTCGTCAATAGTTCGTAAAAAAAAAAAAAAAAACAAAAAAAAAAACACAGTTGCAGTTTCAGCGCAAGAAGGGCATATGGTCTAGCTCTCGTGATCAAATTGGAGCAACTCGAGCGAATAATTCGAGCAATTAGCTTGCGGCGACGACAACGACAACTCGCGCGTTGCGACATAATTGCATCAGTGATGGTCCCGAAAACGCTGTCCTCCTTTCTCCGTTTTTTTTTTCTTTTTCTTTTTTTTTTTCGGTCATTGAGATCAAGAACAGATCGATCCATCGATCGATTATACACTTGATGACAGGATGCGAGGGATCGTTAAGCAAACAGCTTCCAAGTGGTTTGTTTTGTAGTGACAACGGCATGTTTATTCGGCGTATGAAGCGACATTGCTGCAATAACACCTCGTCATACAAAAGTAATAAAAAAAAAAAAAAAAAAAAAAAAAAAAAAAAAGGCACCATTAAAACAAAACGATACAAATGTTGTTTGTTGTCAAATGTACATCGAAGTAAAAGAGCCAGTAACGAAGCGGATATCGGTACGTAGAACCGAAAGGATCGAGAGTGAATCGGTAGTCTCACTGCGCAACGGTACTCGTAAAATTGTCCGAGTCGATAATCTCGAATCTGTCCCCCCTGTAGTGGACAAGGTCGTCCAGGAAGCGCTTGCTACTGACGTTGTGGATTTTTATGAGCACGGGAGGCAGGCCCTCGACGCCCGCAGTCCTCGCCAGGTCGTCGTAGTACTCGCCCTGTAGGGGTCCCATCATGTGGAACTGCCGTTTCGACCAGCCTCGCACCTCGAACCGGTCCTTCTTCTCTTTCTCGTGATCGGCCAGCATGACACTGCGCTCGGGCAGCTGGGCCTTGTTTGTCCAAAATTTCAGCACAAATCGAGCCTGCGGTAAAAACGTTTCATCGGATCAGTCAACGAAAGATCGGTTCATCACGATGATTTGTCACTGCGCGCTTACCTGCAAGTCAAACATACTAAACGCGCAAACGTAGAAGGGCAGCCCGATGAGGGCCATCGTCGGGTTAGCGATGGAGATGACCTGCTTCCACAGGGGCGCGACCATGTTGTCGTCCACTCGGACCCCAGCGGCTCTGGACAGGAACGGGAAGCTGTACTTGTACCCTGTACAGTAAAATATCGCGTCGACTTCGGCTTCCGTCTCGTCGGCGAACTTTACCGCGTTGACTGTCATTTCGACAATGTCCGGCTTCTAAAATGACAAGTCCAAGTACCACAATCGTAAGTAGGTATATAACATAGAGCGCGTATGGACGTAAGTTGCCATTTTTTTATTTTTCCTTAACGATCTTTCGCGCGAAGGTTTCGCGGTAGGAAGTCGATGTTACATGTGCATGTAGCTCTTACTTGTGATACATTTGCAGGAAATTGTGTCAAGATCTCTTCCGTCGAGTGATGACTGAGAATTACGCTGGTGGCCTTCCTCGAGATCTCCAAGGCCAAGTCCATGCCTAGGGGTCATGGTTGTATTATTAGATCGTTTGATACACACGTATACATATATATTTCATGAAACAATTATTTGCCGATTTTTCACGGAATCCTTCCTAATTGATCTACTTATTACAAGCATCATCAGATGATAATCAGTTGGCATCCAACCGATTTTCACATCATTATCACCCGATATGTGGTAATTAGTGGACAATTAATCAGCTATAAATCAGGTGATATTTTCATATCAATCTGACGCTTATCAACAGAGATAAAAAAAAACAAATAACAAATTTCTCCAGTCATCGTCTCTCTGATGACAAGAGCTGAGCACACGTTCGCTTGCGTATATCATTTTTCTCACTCGTGAAAACCTGCCATGCATCCATAATATATTATCTCGATCTCGATTAATTCAAGAAAAACGTAAACAAAAAAAAAAAACAACATACCGGACGGTCCAGCCCCGACGACGACGACCCTTTTGCCGGCAAAGTGCTCGGGTCTCCTGTAATCGTGGCTGTGCAACGTCTCGCCCTTAAACTTGTCGGCGCCTTTGATCACCGGTATCGCTGGCTCAAAGTAATGCCCACTGCAGACCATCACCGCGTCGAAGCGAACATCCAAACTCCTGTCGCCCTTGAGGTCGCGTACGCGCACCTTCCACTCGCTCGTACCACCCACGGGTTCGACTAGCTCGACGTTGTGGTACAACTGTACGTTTTGAGATCGAATTTTCAATGTGTTTATTTATCATTTGTTTGCTGTGCATTTCATTTGGTAATGATAGCGTCAGTTGTTGCGTTGGTCCAATACCGATTTCTGGGTAATATACACGTCGCCGTTTGAAAGGAATCCGAGAAGACGAACGAGCATCCGTTAAAAAGTTAACCGGGATGCGTGCTGTCGGTGATTATATGTATATATACGTGCCGGATCCATTATAGATGATGATCGTCGGATCGGGTAGGGCGCGCGAGCCGTACATCTCGAGAAAAAGAAGAGGATACGCGCTGCGATTCTTGGTAAAAAATGTCAAAAGGTAAATGTAGGCCATATGGAAACGATTTCAGAATAAATCGAGAGATAGCTGCATATCTCTCTGTGTGTTGGATTTATTTGGAAAACGTAATTTTTTATATATGTAAGTACTTGTTAAAAGTATGATTGACAACGCCGTTTGTTCTTGTAAAATATAACTTTTCATTATTTTTTCCTCGCCGTCCCGTACGTGTCAGTCTTCCTTATTTATAATTTTTTTTTTTTTCTTCCCAACACGAGCAATGTTAACGAGCAAGCCCGATCTCATTGGTTTCGTAATCCATGATCAGCTCGTGTATTAATCTCGGGAATAATTACAGGCGCGTAATGGGCCCGCGAGCGCTCAACAGAGCGGAAATCTATATATTGTAGTATAATCTCACACGTCCATTATTTATTATGTACATACTTGCTCGCGCGGAGCTTTTTCAGCCAATTTACGCGCGGATACAAAAATGAATCCTTTTACGTAATAAGCAACAATATACTTACGCACGTAGGTACTTTTGCTTGGAAAAATGCGCGTATATTCTTTTTGCTAACTGTTTTAGTATAATACCACAGATGCAGTTATTATGATTTTCCTCCGACTCACGTGTATGTGTTCTCGAAGCTTGAAGTGCTCGGCGAAGCTTTCGAGGAACGCCAAGATCTCCGTGCGCGTGAGGTAACTGCGTTTCTCGCTGTTTTCGGGTATCGGGTAGCCCGGATATCCCATCACCTCTTTCGGCAGATTTGTCCTATACATCACGATAAAGGAACCATAAAAAAAAAAAAAAAAAAAAAAAAAAATAAAANCGCCAGATCGCGGTACTCCTGTCTCTTCAGTCATTATAATATTTTCGGGAGGTGGCAATTTTTCCCACCATTTAAGGCTGAAAGAAAAAAAAAAAAAAAAAAAAAATTCGTACTTTTGCGCTACACATGACCGAATTGTCGATCATACGCGCCGCAAAGTAAAAAAGATGACTAATTTCGAGTATATCACAAGAAGTATAAATACGTATGTTTTCACCTGAGACTGTCGTACATGCTGGAGTGCACCGGTAGGCCGTACTCGTCCTTCCCGGTCTCGGGCACGTAGACCCAAGTGCCGCCGATTTTCCCAGTTTTCTCGTAAACGACCGCCTCGATCGGGAGCGCCTCGGTGCTGGCCTCGAGGACGCGCCTGAGGGCGGCCAAACCCGCGGCTCCGGCCCCGATTATCGCGATCTTCATTCTATTTCGGTATTTTTACAGGCTCGACTCGTCGATCGTCGTCGCGTTGCCCCCAATCGATCCTACGGTGCCAAAGCTCTCACTTGAAGTGATAAAAGCGCGAAGAGTTAAAGTATATTATTCGAGGTGACGCGGTTGGAGGGTATCGAGAATTGATTTCGGGCCCGACGACTGTGAACGATGACGATTAGGGGGAGAGCCGATGATTACGCTTTGTGAAGAAGCGCTGCATTTTGATCAACAAGTGTGTGTATGTATGTAGATAGACACGTTGTTGGGCGTAATAACGAGGTCAATGTGCGCTACCGTACTTTTATCGAGAGCGACTTTGTTTGGATCTCTCCGCGGCTTTGTGCGTCTACTTGTATCTTTCGCGGAGGAGGAGGAGGAGGAGGAGCTTTTGAGCAGCAGAAGTCGCGTGTGGGGTCTTTTGAGCTTTATTTTTACATTTTCTTGCTCGAGAGACGTGGGTGTTTTTTTTTGTCTCATAGTTTTAAATAGATGGAAGCGAAATGTACAACAAAAGAAGAAAGAAGAATAAAATGATAAGTAATTGTTATCACTTGGAGATGGAATTTTTTTTTTTTTTTTTTTTATAACAACGCAGAGTATGAACTGGTCGAGTTACTTTACTGGTTGTACTGTTTGTACATTATAATAATGCTGCTGACAATATAAGTAAATTTGAAAGGTGTAATAAAAACATAAACTTTCTTACCAGCTTGCTTGTGTAATAATTCTCACTTTATTGGTAGGATTCAAGCAATGAAATATTCTCAACTCATACGCAAATTTCTCATTTGTATTTCAAGTGCTGAGCTGTACAAGAATTTACAATATGTTTTTATTTCAATGAAAAAAAAAAATCAACTGTTCATTTCATGCTAACGCGTTGCTGACATTTTCAAAAGAAAGGATACACTATTTGTACAGCTTTATTATAACTTTTGATTGATCACTTTTAACAGCGTTACTTTGAGCCGCTTCTCAATGCGACTAAAGCAATATACAAACTCGCGTGTTATTTTATATCACGATTTTTCCTTCCTTACCGGACAAGGTTTCAGATCTTTACGCTTGCGGTTCTTTGACCACTATCTGTTGACCCTCAGTCTTCCTTTTCCGATAGGAATACATTTTCCTTTGTTTAATCTATATTTACAATGTTCGTGGTAAAATAAGTCTTTGATTCATGCTTTAGGTAGCTAGTCAATTTTTTAATCAAAAATATACTTTTTAAAGTGTAATAAACAAGCATAATAACTTAACACAAATTAATAGCACAGACAACTATCATAATCATTTTTTTATCTCGAGCTCCCACTTTCTCTTGTACAACTGATACAACTGCATGGCTGCTCGAGCATCTTCAATCGAATTATGTTCACCAGATTGTATATCTATTCCGAGCAATTCAGACGCTAGTTTTTTTAGACTTGGAGTGTTGCCTTTGGTTATTTTTTTGAAAAATTTATATCTCGATGTGTCTCGCTGACTCTTTTTTGGATGTGACAAGAACAAAACTGCTAAATCATTGTGCAGAGCATGACCAACCAGTATTCTTCCCTTCAGAATATCAGCCACTTCTTTTTGAACGACTTTGAAGTATTCTCCTTTAGCCAAATGATGAGGTCTGATACCACTGACAGCAGTTCTGAAATCTGTAACTTCTTCTGTAGGCTTGACATATTTATCGTACACACAAAATCCATTCTTGTTTACAATAGAAACGCGAGCTATCATACTATCAACACCACCATTGCCTATTCCAACCATTTCACAATCAATACCAATGGCTTTCGTAAGTCCTGTGTACGCAGATGGCTTTTTTTTCTCTGCAGTCGTACTTGTGATTTCTTGCTGCTTGGATCCACAAAATATTAAAATAAGATAACGGACAATTAGACACAAGAATGTAATTAGATGTTCTATTACCTTTTGAACCTGACTAACTTGTGGCTCACATTCGGTTTCCGGATTAAATGGCCTGTAAGTGCGCTTTGCTCTTTTCACTTTAACTACAGGATTATCTGAGTTTTTTGGGTCTGGTCCATCCAAGATATTCTTGAACCTTTCCCAGTTGGATCCGGGTTTCCTGAGTCCATTGTCGCCCTTTGTTTTGCCTACAGGTGTTTCCTTTTTCGCATCCATAACGGATTTGTTCGATTTTGCGGATTGATTTTTAGCCTTACTATTGTTTTCAGATATCATTATGAGAAGTTGATGAACCGATTAGGAATCGCGACATTCAACTTGTAAAACAACTGCTGTCAATCGCCTTTTAGTTTGTTTTAGCAAATGTTGTATGCGTCGTGTGCGAAAACGTGTCAGTTCTAGTTCTCCGACTATTAACATATGTAACGTGATTGCACATCAAATATTAAAAACTTTAAACCAATAACACGCTCAAAAGCCTAAAAACACTTAAAAAAATTGATGTTGTTTGATTTAATTTGAGATCGATCACACTTTTTTCCGCAAATCTACAATTTTTAAATTGCATCAAATTCCACCAACGATATTCATAACCTTAAATATTTCAACGGTTTTTTTCTCTCTCTCTCTCTCTCTCTCTCTGTAATTCTGTAATGGATGAAGTGCGCAGGCGCACATTTTTTAATCTTATATTGCGCCAAAGTTTGAAAACAAAAACGTAATGATCATTATTAAGCGGTAGTTTGTAAATCAATGCAAACCGATTACTTTATCAAATTCTACTTCAAACTCTCTTGGCAATCCAAAACAACTAATTTTCGGTAAAATGCTTCGCATGAAGTTGTTCCTTAGTGACTCAATAGTCCTGTGCTTCAGGTACTAAATAAAAAAAAAAAAAGAATATTTTTTCCAAAATTAAATTTTTATGGGAATTATGCTTTCAACTTACCCCAGCATTATTAAACATTTTCCATGTCGTTCGACTATATCCACGGTGAATCAGATTATTTTGTACCAAGAAAGTAATCATCAAACGCATTTCTTGGTCAGAATATCGAGGACTAAAAATATACATTGAAGTTAATTACAGGTATGAACATTTTTTTCATCAATACCTAACTAATAAAGATATTTATAAGTTTTAATCACCCTTTGAAAAAACCACCGCCAGATCGCGGTACTCCTGTCTCTTCAGTCATTATAATATTTTCGGGAGGTGGCAATTTTTCCCACCATTTAAGGCTGAAAGAAAAAAATTAATCATATGATAAAATTGAAATTGACCTAATGATTGAGTACAAGTGACTTACCCTTGAAAAGAATTAAATATTTTCTTAACTGTTTTCTGAGCAGATTTTTGGTAAACGAAGCTATTTTCTTCTGTATCTTCGTTTGAGGGCCTTTTGGTTTTTTTTTTCTTTTTTTTAACCTCTACTACTTCAATGTCACTATCTGAATCATCGACATACAGGCGTTTCCGAATTATTTTATCGAGCTGTTCAATCGAACTGTACAAAATTGAGTAAGTAATAAATGAGTCAAAAACTACCAAAAGGTGTATTTTTAATGTATTGACTTCTTTCGAATATAATTCAAGAAATTTATACCTAGATTCTTGATTCTTTGGTTTTTTACGTTTAGTCTTTTTAGGCGACAAATCATTTTCCTTGTCATTTTCCAGAATCATTTCTGTGGGTGAACTGGCATCTTTTGTGCACTGGATGCATCGCACATGAGTGTGGTAGTAACTGCCAAAGATGTAATAACATTTACAATAATTAGTCATGAAAATAAACAAGTATTTGAAAGTTTATCTTTACTAGTTGAATAATTACTTGACACATGAATCACACTTGAGCACATTTTCGGCCACCCAGCAGCAGGGATCAGTTGATATTATTGGGGTAAACCTGTCAAGTACAGAAGCTCATTACTTGTACATCACTGTTTCCTCATTACGTCCCACGATATTTCAAAGTCAATAAAATAATTGTAACACAATGCCATGAGATGGTAATAGAAGAAACTGTTAGACCTAACAACAATCATACAAAGTTACGTGTGGTTAATAAATACCTGAATTTTTCGATTTCAGGTATTTTTTTGTCGTCAATGGCCGTCGATATAAACCTAATATCGTACAAATCTTCCCTTTTATTATTTTCACTCTTGAGAAAGAAATCTTTGGTCACTAATATAATCCTCCCATCATCTCCAACGTGACCATTACATTTCTGTTGAGTAAAAAGTATTTAAATTAATTTAGATCAAAGACAACGACTTTCTTTCAAGTAATATTTCTCTTTGGAAGAGACAAGAGAAAAAAATGACATGGATAATAACCTAGATAACTTAAATTACTTACAGTCACAATGTCTTTCAGTCTTTCCTTAATATCACTCTGAAAGCCTTCAAATTTAATTGAGACACCAGTGAAGAGGTACTGATGCCTTTTATAAAAGGGCTCTTTTACCCCTTCAACATTCATGACGCACGTGTGGATATCTTGTGACAAGATAGGTATAATTACTTGTTTGGGGACCTTGGGATACACACAATTTTTGCATGCAATATGATTAAGATTCGCCTTTTATCTCATCGTCCCGTGAAGCTCTGTGTTTACAACGTTATAAATAATTACTTTTGATGGTAACTTTTTTGTTGCCGGCTTTGTGAATAAGTACGCGTTAATAAAAACAAGAACAGACAAGAACTGCGTCGGTGCTGTCGGTAGAGAACAATCTGCCCGTCTGCGCCGTAGAAAAGATCGAGAGTCGAGAGAAACTTATGTCGACCCTCGACTCTTTCGACTCATTGACGTAACCCAAAACAATCGATACGGCAAAGCGCCAAAATTCAAATTGTGAGCTTGCTCTGGCGCGTGATTCGGCCCAACGTTTATATACTCGTAAATCGGTTGACTGTTACCAGTCACTAAAGGTGAAAAAAAAAAAAACCCTAACATAAGCTGCACACGTTGTACAGTGCTATTCAACTTTTTAAAAATCCAAATAAAAAGGTTTTAATGTATGTACATAATTATGTGGCGTCTCACATCTCTTGCGCTTCAGGCTCTACTCGCCAGGTGGCCAAGCCCCTAATTGTTAACGCCCGTCAAGCGGCGAAATTCTCGCACAATTAATATAGAAGCGCGATCGAGTCGATCAGAGCCCTCACCTCTTCTGTGTCTAAGGCAGGGAGCACGGCCTCAAGCTTACTGATGATTCCTGGCGTGCTCTCGGGACGAAACACCTTTGTCTCTCTCAAGTAGATGACCACACTTCCTACATTGTCTTGCAGGTGATGGAATGATCCATCTCCTATCTTGAGTAGTTGTATCTCAACCTCCTCACGTCTTGATGTGTGATCTGTGTGATGACCTAGTTCGAAGGCAATCTCCACAGGTTACAGCCCTATGGATGGAAGAAGGGGATTCTTCTCCGCTTCTAACATCCTGCTGGGAATTGGGCTTAATCCAGACACTGATTCGAGATGAGGTTTCAGCTGATATAGTACGTATCTCTAACTTTCACTACTGGAAGAGCAGTGTCCGCACAGTCTATCTCGAAACTTGATGGATTCTTTGCGGCTGTCGTCAAAACTGCCTCTCGGATCATGCCTTCCAGAATGCACTGATTCAGCAATATGGTGGCTCCATTGCGCTCCATCTCACTCCTAAAACTGTTGTGTTGGCCACAAAAACGCTCTTATCTTCAGTCTCGGATACTTCTAATCCACATGCTCTGATCTTTGACCTGAGTTGGAACCCACTGGACAATTCCGGGATTGTATTCCCCTTTCCCTTGGACAGTGGCATAGGCCCCAGTCCCACGATACAGTGTTTTCCATGCACATTTCACAGTACGAGGGTAGAGTGATAGCACCACTGTTCCATCAGTAGTTTGGGATGACTCTTTGGATGCAGACCAACTTATTAGGGTCTTGCCATCCAGGGTCCTGAGTGGTGTATTTCCCAATAGATCTGATGTTTCCACTACTGGGGCTTGGACTAACTCTAGGAATCCTTTTACTACCTTGCTAAGCTCTTTTGCATGTTTGCAAAATCCATCATCTCCTATGTCGGCTCCTACCAGAATTTTGGTGACTTTTCCCGGGGTCACAGGAATTCCCTGGTAGTAAAACTTTTTTGTTCCATGCATCCAAGCACTCATTTTCAGAGAGTTGGTAGGGGACTACATTTATGTCATTATCTGGAAGCTCCAGCTGAGTTGGGTTCTTTGAATAGGTGCAATACATGGTATAGGATTGTAGGGTCAGCCTGCAAGTCCTGTGTGTCCTTTCAGTGTCAAGAGGAAGTTGGAGAATAGTCCCCTCCCAAGGACTGAATGTGTAACTGTTCTCATTTATCTTGTGACAGTCTGAACTGTCCGACACACTGTACCTCGTCACCTCCCCAGGGTTAGAACAATCAAAAGCAATAAGGGCCAGAGAGGACACGGGCAGGATTAAGAGAATCAGCATCTTCATGGTTTTATTTATATTTTAGATTGGAGCTTAGAATTTAACAGTTCAAAAAAAAGCTTGCGTATTTACTCTTGGATTATAGTACATTTTGAGCTAAAGGAAGAACCTGCGTTATCACTGAAAATCCATCGGGGATAGGTGATCTACACATGCGAGATACATATACACGTATATAGCTAGTTCGGACCTTTAAATCACCGATTTGATCACTATTGTCGCGCTCAACGTACTGTTGTCCCAAACGTGACGAAAAGCTACGTACACCAAGCCCGTAAAAAATCGGCAAAAGCTTTGGATAAAAACAAGAAACTATACACAATACAATGTACTTGGAAGAGCAGTCCATAAAAGTACAGGGGAGAAATGAAGAATCGAACGCGCGAATAACCGAAACGGTCGCGGTTGGAGGGGGCGGCGGGGGGGTAAAACGTGTGAAAAGCGTGTGTAGAAAGAATAGGGGCCTCGCGCCTCTAATTTTAGCCGGCGCACTCTTTTTCTCGCGCGTTCGGCCAACAACCACCGCTGTAACGCTTGTCGTCGCCGTTGACTTTTTCTAATGCCGCAGGAGCTTTTCTCGCGCGTCAAAGCTGTACCAGCCATCGTGTATGATGGAGTCGCGTAGGAGGAGCGCCAGTTACAGTTGTGGCGGCAGACGCGGGTGAGAGAGAGATATACCATAAAATATTTGCATAAAATCGATATAACAATTAAACATCACAGCAGTTATCCATCGCTAAATGTACATAGGTACTATATCATAATTAACAATTGCTGAGAGCTTGCGGTGCTGGTTATCTGTGTATATATGGAATGTGTATATATTTATCATATAATATGTGGGTCTTCGCGTGCACGCAGCTCTTTTGATGTATAAATGGCTCCGCGCTTATTTGTTTACGTCTTCCGGGTGAGTTTATCATTGTGAGAGGCTGCGAGCGAAAACACACCCGCGCGCACCACCCACGTACGTCAACCGTGGAATTTTCATTGGGTGAACAGCTGTGGGTTCTCTCTTTGTTTTTTTCCCGGAAAAACAATATCTTCTGTACGCCATACGATCGTTCGTTCGCAAGCTTTTGCTCGGTATATACTTATATCGTGCACGTAAACACAATAACTTACGGTGCAGTAGTTGCGGTCAATCGTAAAAATTGGGTGTCAATTTGAGTGACACGAGTGCGTGTAGTACTGTATTATCATTATTTTTTTTTTTTGTTGTTTATAATCAACTAAATGAAGGGCCGCCGCAAAACTGCGAGCATATCAGAATATTTTTCGCGATCGGCCGATTGTTTCGCAACAGCTCATGTGTACCATCGTCTCATGTATATGTATACATTATACGTATACATAACGCGCGCGTCGGGTCTAAAAATAATAATATATTCCACCCGCGAATGGCAACAAAACATTTATACCGCACACGTTTGTTATACGCGCGTTATACGATTGAACCATGGGTGCACGCAACAACAGACGTTATAACGATCATGATATTCAACATCGACTGGTACTTATATGTAATATAAAAAAAAAAAACTTCTGACGCGAGATAAACTTTAAAATGGACACACCCAAATAAACGCATCAATCATCCGCCGCAGATATACATATGTTACATGTGTAGGATTGGGCGCTCGCACGCGTAATGGCATCACATTATACAATGATCAAAACGATGCAGAGTATAGATGCATGTATACATGTATCGCCCACTCTCTAGACGAGCGGTGTCCGTGAGGGCCTAAATATACAAAGAGAAACTCAATTAGACGCGCAAAATCTAAATTGATCGAAGAGAATGGCAATGACGACCGCGCGAAGATCGCTCGCTCGCTCGCTCGCTGCAAACCATATAACGACCAGCAAATAAATCGATCCTACACTGCCTACACTCATCTCTTGTTTTATATTATTTTTCTTTCCCTGCATTTTTGTTGAAATAAAACAGTCCTTTGCCCAGGTTGTTGGGCGAGTTCGAGTACACCACGGCCCAGCAGCTCAATAGCGATGAGAGCTTCAAGGCCCGTTTCGGGGAGTTGTCGCGCGCCGGTAATCAAACCGGTATGGTCGCAGCGGTGCTGGACGCTCTCGAAGCGCATCCCAAGGTGGGGGACTGCTTCAGGGGGAAGGACGAGAAAAAAACAGCGCAGCTGTTGCAGCAGGACCAGGCCCAAGAGGAGCCGGACCCGCAACTGCTCGCCAAAGCCCTGGGCATTGCTCCGGCTGGTAGCCGGCTCTTCTACGACGTCCTCGCCGAGTGCGCTCGAGCCGCGTATCTCGCCGGGGATCCTCTCAGGTGCATCAAGTACTGCCGGTTGTTCACCGAGTCGTTGGACCGGCAGGAGGACGGGCAGCCCGAAAGTCCCCCGGTTGCCGAGAATGCGAGGATCGACGTGCTCCTACTGCAGGCGGACTGCTGCAAGGCCTTCAGGGACGCCATCGGGGCCAGGAGTCTGCTGAACGAGGCGATGCGAAGGATCGGGCTGATGGCCAAGGGCAGGTGCATCGGCGGGGACGACGAGTCCTACAAGTTGGAGAAGGCCGAGCTGCTTAACAAGTTCCTCCAGAGGAAGCCCAGGAAGACGCCCATGCCGGACGATGCCGCTTGGGATCTGCTCCGACAGGTTTGGCATTTTTCTTTTTGTCACTTGATGCAGTTTACGGTCCTAATTGGAGAGAAGTATACAGTTCATCATTTTTATATATATATGATGAGCTCTCGTGTGTGCGCTGTACAATGTGCTAGTGAAAGAATCCATTCAACTAAAATTAAACTCGCGCGCGATTGGCCACTCGACCCGAATTTACCGTTCCGTGGATGATTAATGGTTTATAGAAACGCGACAGCTGTAGAAGAAAATTGATGCGAAACAGATATATTCCCGGTGCTCATATGAGTGTTATTTATATTTATAATACCTTTACTTAATTGTGTACCGAGTTACAATATTTTGCACACGATCACGAGTGATAACTTTTTTTTTTCTTTGTCTTCAGGAAAAGATTGTAACACCAACGGTGGATGGAAAACCTAACGAGTATCTGCGTAGCTGTTCCGACGCGGTGGCTCTCGGCAACGATAAGATCAAAGGTCGGAAGCTGTATGCAACAAGAAAAATCAAAGCCGGAAGCGTCCTCATAGTCGATCGTCCTTATTCTTATTGCACTGACCTAGCTGCGATTCAGACGAATTGCCTCTACTGCCATGCGTCTTTAAGATTAGACAGCAACATCAGAGTACCTTGCGAAAGCTGCCAGACGGTAAACATAGGTCACATACTGTATACAACTTTTATTTATTTTTTTTTTTTTTTCATTAAAATTTTTTCTATCTCTATCGTATCCACAGAAATAATAATACGGTTGTGTGAAAGTTGAAAGTAAAAACACTATACTTTTCAATAAGTTTTACTCTTATTATTAAAAAAAAGAAAAAAAAAAAAAAAAAGTAAAGTAAAGAAAAAGTAAATTTTAACGATATTATTGAAAAACGTAGTATTTCTTTTGATACAAAATCAAAAATCAATCTACGTACATTGTATACTGGTGGGATCGTCATCAACAGATAATTAACAATTTTTGTAACAAACGTGATACTGAAATTTGCTATACATTATAACTCTTTATCCGTTTCAAGATTTCTGCAATGATTATTTAATGTTACATTTGGATTGCAGGTGCAATTCTGCTCCAAAGATTGCCAACAACTGGCGTGGAGTAAGTTTCATAAGTATGAGTGCCGAATCTTTGACTACTTTTTTGACAGCAAAATCCAAAGGATTAATGCGCTTCTGGCGTACAGAACTGTGGTTACAGCTGCCAATTTTGATTTTCAAGATAACGTTCTGAGAATCAATCGAGACTTTTTGCAGCTTCACAACAGTCATGATAAGAATACTTTCGACTTTAATGCTCTTAAAAAATATGATTCGCAAGATTATAAAACTGTGTTTAGCTTGGAAACTCACTGCTCTGATGCTGACCCGAGTGAAAACTTGGAACGAGTAGTTTATGCAATATTTTTTGCAAAATGTCTGATTTATTCGTTAAATTACTTTTATCCCGAAGCAGACGATTACAAAGGCCATTTACATGTTTTGGCAGTAGCTTTATTACACAGCATGCAAGCCGTTAATTGCAATGCTTATGAAATCGTCGAGAACGTCCGAGATGACGAGACAAAAGTCTTACAGCCACGGAACGTCGGAGGTGCCATTTACACGTCGGTTAGCTTGACTAATCACAGCTGTTACCCTAACGTCGTCAGGCACTCTTATTCTTGTGGTAGGTATAGTTCATGAGTTATTACACAGCATTTTAAATTTGAGACAATAGTTTACACTAAGGGTAGTGACGTAAATAATGCTCGAAATCAAACATTTCTTATTTCCGCTTGTGATTTGCATGCGATTTAACGTGCCACACAGCGTACCACAAGCGAAATTTATTGCTCTCGTAGCAAGCAGTTTTAATTTTGTGAATGCTGGCTTTTCAAAAATTTTTTTTAATATTCTGTCCAGGTACGGTCGTCGTACGATCACTGCGGTTCATAGCTCAAGGTGAAGAGATTCTCGACTGCTACGGACAACATTTTCTTGAAAATGAAAGAGATACCAGACGCAAGTTGTTGGAAAAAAAGTATTATTTCAAGTGCCAGTGCATGGCTTGTACATTTGATTGGCCAGTTACATTACCAAATGATCAATTTGATTTCAAATGCAAAAAATGCTCGCAGGCATGCCGCAAAAATCACGTTTTAGCCGAGTGCGCAAATTGCGGCCGAAAAACTGAAATCAGCAAACTATACGGCTTGCTACAATCTTCAATAAAAAAACGACTAACAGCTCTGACAAGGATGTATGACGGCAATTACAAGGATGCATTACCATTGCTTCTAGAGCACGCGCATTGCATTGACAAGATATTGTCAGAACCGAGTCTCGAAATAATAAAGACGCAACAATCGATCATCCAATGTTTGAATGCGATGTCGTCTACATCCATTTGAACATGCTATACGTGATGCGTACAGTGTCATTTTTGATCTCTTCCTACCTACTTCTCTGTAATAGCGTAAAGATTAATGTTTCCGCATATGTAATGCAACCTTCCTTTTTAATTTTGTTTAGCATCCAGTGCTTTTTGCTTCTTGTGGCAAGAATATTTTATAAATGGATGAGACCGACATTTTTAATCGCGTTAATAGTAAGAGTAAATATTTACATTTATATACGTAAATACGAATCATATCTGTCGAGTAAATTATCTTAAATCATGCGTTCACACTTTTCATTCTATTGAAAACTAGATCAGAAAAACAATCTAACACTTGGATTACCACATATGCGTTTCGCGAATCTCACTTATAATGTGACCAGCTTGAGTCAAAGCCTAAAAACAAAAATAATTTTTTTCATCAAGTTTAACGTTATAAAATATATACTATCGAGACTCTGTAAAATTTTTTTTACCTTAAGCATGTCTGCAGCTTCTTTGCGCCTAACGGCAATGTGTTCGCTCTCGTTGAGTAAACATTCTGCCTGGTCTGACTTGTATAAATGCGTAACAAGTTCGCTTTGTAAATTATCCTTTACATAATTAACTAGAAAATGCATGATTGCCTTCGGCACACTGTCCTGTATGGACTTTCTCACTATATAAAAGTATGATTTAATAAGCCTCTCTAAAAGTATAAAAAAAAAAATATTAATGATACCCCAAGAAAAATAAAACATTGAAAAATTATAATTTTCGTCGAGTTATTCAATTTACCAATCACGTCACAATCACGTTGCTCTCTTTCGCTAAATTTACGAGAAGTCTGTGTAGGTACTTCAGGTAATAAATTAACTGGTTTTTGCTGCGGCGAGGAGCACTTTTGCAGCTCAGTTGCAACATCTTGATTAAGATTTGGAATTGGGGAAACTGTATCCTCGCGATTCCTGGTCGGCGATCCATCCATAGAACTAATTGAGTCAGCTTTGCCCTGTGGTATTAAATTACTGAGCAGCCAATGATTTTGTTGCGCATTTTCTTTGTTACTCTGCTCCAAAAATGCATTGTATTCATCTCTATTGTATGATGATTTCTAATACAAGCGTTAGAAGAGAAGATGTGTTATTGTGGGGTGTGGATAAAAGCAAGGGACACCCATGCAGTCGAGAAATTTGTTATTTTTGTTTTTAAACATCGCATGGATAAAAAGTTAAATTATTTTCCATGATAAAGGTAGGGTAAAGCATTATATGCGAGTTATCAAAGTTAAGCAGTTAAAAAAAAAATCACACAATACTTACATTTTCAATGGGAATAACAGAATTACTAGTTGAATTTGATGCTGATATATGTCTTCTACTCTGATGTTTTGCTTGATTTGCAGCATTAACCTCTGCATTTTTAATAAAAGAAGAGACAAGAGCGGCGTCTTTGTGAAAATCCGGATGCTTAGTGTTTATGTAAGCTAGTTCTATAGCGACTAGATTTTCTACCTAAAATTCAATACGATCTTCATGAATGTCTGTAAATTATGTTGCAGTGATTTTATTGGTTATACCATTGAATTAGTTGTGGGAAGTCGTCGGCGTAAAAGTTGTGTAACAACTTCAACAATTTGTTCATGAAGTTTGGGGAAGCGCAGCATTTCTTGCTGAACTTCCGTGCCACAATGCTGAATGATCCGTTGCATTTCTTCATGTACGAGCTCCACACATCGCAGAGAAGGCTCTTCGAGTCGACGAATTTGCCGTTTGACTAGGAGTTCAAAAGAAACTTCAGGCACAAAGAGAGCAGGACGTGGTCCGGTAGCATTTCTAATAGCAGTTAGGATGTCCCATTTAGTTAAACCAGTCAGTGGATGTATGGAGTCCAAAACTCTTCCAAAAGTTTCATGGAAAATATAACAAATTCGAGCACCACCACAAAGCTCAGTTGTCTCTATATTTCTACTTGTGCCTTCTATTGTTGAACAATAACTGCTGGCAAATTTCGTTATTATCTGGAGAAGAGTTTGAGCCTTGTCTTCTACATCCTCCCCATAAGAGTTGAGCAAAGTTTGAAATTGAGAAACCATAACATTGACTCGTGTCTAAAATAATAAAAAATAAATACAGCTCAATTTGTCCATATATGAAGTGACTTTACTTTCAATATTTTTTTTTCCTACTTTCAAATCAGGTAAGCAATCTCGGATATGATGCATCAACAAACGATTCAAAGTTTTTGCTAAGTATGGTGTTCCATTTCTATTAGCTAGAGTAGGGTATTTACGCTGCAAAAATGCAGCTTCATCTTTTAAAGTTTCCTGAATTGATTTTTTATTCATAATGTCTTGCTGAGAACGATTCACCACACCAATGATTCCCAGCTTCACAGGAATTACTCTGCCGCATAGGATATCAATTGCATCCGTACCTAAACAAAATAGGGAGATTACCAAAAATATCAATTTGAAAAAAAAAAAAAAAAAGTGTAAATACCAGCATCCATAAGATCTAATTTTGTAACAACAGCCAATGTCCTTCTCCCATCTGGATCAACATCCTTACTTAATTTCAAACTTTCACTAGTTGCCATATCTGTGTTAGCAGTTACAACTGCCAAGATAATTGAATTTGGATTGCAGATGTATTTTAGGACCAACTGGCGAATTTGACCCTCTATGTCTTCTGGCTGATCTCCAACAGGAACTTTTGTTATTCCAGGTAAATCGATCATTGTCAAATTTACCACGGACTTGGAAAATATTTTCAAGTTAATAGGCTCTGGGCAAATTCCTTTGTTAGCACCAGCCATTCTGTTTGTTTCGTTATCAATTTCATCCCTTATCTCGTTAAAGTCCTTGTAGATCCTGTTCTTTTGATGTAAAAATATGCCCCATTCATCAACATCAAGCGTGCCATCTTCGGCACTTCTGTACTCTTTGTCATCTTTTGGAGTATAGACTAATTGAAGTATGAGTGGTCTACGAGTCACAATGCCTGTACCTCGGGGTAAAAAAGTTTTGCCAACGATGCTTTCAATGACTGACGATTTACCAGAGCTCTGAAAATTATGCAATAACACATCATAAGACTGCCATGAAATTAAAAATTAGATTTTCAAAATACACAAAAATTACAAGTGAAGATACACACTGACACAAGCAATAATTATTTAACAGTGGTAAGTAAATAGCTCGGATTTTCACGACATTAACGAAACAGAACGAGAATCGCAGTGCTTAGCAACAATCATCATCGTCATCCTCGAGCAAGACAATGGATATGTAATAGGTATACAGAAGAAACAATGAAAATACTTCAAAAGACATGTTGAGAGTCAAAAGAAAGAGAAAAGAACGAGCCAAACCTGCGTGCCGAGAACAACGATCTGTGGCAACTGTATGGCGTCGGCGCCGACGGTGTTAAAGACATCCTGGAGCTTGTTAATCACGGGAATCAGAGCCTCCATCCTGGCTGATGTCGACCAACCCCCCAAGAGTAACGCAAAACAAAATGACAACCTCAAATTCTCCTAAAAATTGAGAAACTCCCGCGGGGTGTGCAAACTGCTGTAAGCTGTAAGCCAGTTCAGCCAGTAGACCGCGACTGCTCTTTCTCTCTCTCTTTTTTTTTTTTTTTTCAGGGCGAAAGGTGGACGGACGAACGATGTGAGAGAGAGTAGAGAGGGAAATTTCGACTTTAGAATTTTTAACGGTGGAGCTTCAAGCTTCAATTGAANAAAATGTAAGCTTGGATTTAAAAAAAAAAAAAAAAAAAAAAAAAAAACGAAACTCGCGATAATTTCAAATCAAGTACTGGCTTATTTAAGTAATCAACTAAACTCTTACATGTGTAGGCTACAATAAATTCTAGTTATTGAAGCTACATTCAACTGATTCAGGCGCAAGTACAAGAAAAAAAAAAAGCCTACGGACTTGAAATAATAATCGACCTGCCAAAACAAAAAGTATGTTTTTAAACAACTTTTTTTCTTCCAGGGAAGTTCATTCACACACTAACACTCATCAGATGTACCAAATAAACATGAAAAAAAAAATTTTGCAGATCAAATAAAAAAAATGTTTATACCAATAACTATTTGGAAGTTCGGAAAAAGTTTTCCACTCTCGATCATTCAGGTGCGCTCGTGTTTTTTAAAACCGTTTTTCGCGCAAGAAGGGTGAAGCAGAACATAAGCAATAAGAAAAAAAAAAAAAAAAAAAAAACAAACACATGCCTTCTCCTATCTCTAAATTATTAATTAATAATTACACCTGTAACGACGAGAGAGCGACTCAGATCGCCACCCCCAACGCCATGGTAAACCTATGTATAATCATACGTATCATCGTCGAGAGAGAGCTCGAAGGGATATACTTATTATTCCAAGCAAACTACAAGTTACGAGGAATATTGCATAATGTCGTAATGTACAATGTTTGTAGTTATTGAGAAAAAGTAAGGATAAGAAATAATTACGAATCAAAAATGTTCTTACACTCTTGGTGTAATGAACAAGGTTATAGGTATGCGAACTCACGAAATGCATGCATGAAAGGAAGTGCGCATGTAGAATGGAAGCGAAAAATGCGAAAATATATAGAGGATTAGCCGATTAGGAGAGAAGAAAGAGAAGAGAAAGAGAGAGCGCGAATCGGCAGCAGAGGATCAGAGAGAGAGAGAGATATTTCTCAGAGAGCGCGCTTCGCGTTGTGGGTTGTGGGGAAAAAGCAAGATGGCCACCGATGTCGCATCGGGTAGAGTGTCAGAAGCGCGTCGCGATGTAAATATTAGCGTAACCGGGCCCGGGGCCACGAGCACGGGGAAACGCGAGCCCGAACTCATCGACCAAGAGGACGAAAACAGGAACGTGCAGTCATCGTCCTCGTCAATCGTGGGATCTTGTCGTCAGCGCGAGCAAGAAGAGCAGCCTGAGAGTACGACATCGCCGTCGCCGCCACCGCAGCGGCTCCTAGTCGCTACGCCCACCAACACCATCAGCAGCAGTAACAACAACAAAGCCCAGCTTGGGAGTTTGATTGCAGGGGTAGCTGGGAGCAGAAGCACTACGTCCGAGAAGGAGGTTGACATGTCCGGGACCGGCAGCCCGCCGGCCCGGACCGTCGATCAGGAGACGCCTCGAGGTAACTTTTCCATTGTTCTTTTTCTCTACTATTCATAAATGCGATCGAGACGTGCTCCTCTTTGCACCTGGGATGGACGTCCGATGACACTTTTGAGTTTAGCTGTTATTGCTCTCTGTTACTGCGTTCGTTGCGTCTAATATATTGTTATGTTAGCGGCCCCAGGGAGACTCTACTATTTTTAGAGCCCAAATAGTTTGACCCTCTCCTACTCTCTCTTTCTTTTGCACTGCCGACAACAAGCTCCAGTTTTATGTGCTCGATCGTAGTTTGCTCGTTGACGAGTTTCGAAGTAGTTGAGTTTTTTTTTGTTTTTCTTTTTTTTCAGAAGACAAGCCATGCATAGGTACCGTCAGTCCTGATATGTCCATGAACACCGATCCTTGTGTACCTATTGTAAGTATACATACATATATATCTTTAAATTCAGTACCACGTACACATTGATACATGTTGGTTTACTTTAATTTTCTGGTTTATTCTAGATTGATTCAACGTCGTCTCCTAAAAGCAACGATCATTGTGCTCCAGAGCTTCGTCTTCAGGAAGGAGAGCGAGATTGCATGGTCAACAAGAGTCCACAAGTGGCGGAAAGCCTGCAAAGTTCTGGACAATGTTCTGGATTTACCAGTCCACTATCTCCGGACTACCCACCAAGAGTTTCCACTGGTCACAACAGTCCGGCTAGTATTATTGTCACTAAAAGCTCGATGACCTACGGACTACCTATGATGTCCTCGGGGAACACTTGGAAGACAAAGCCAGAAGTTATTGAAAGACCTTCTTGTATTAACCAGCAAAAAGTTGTGGAAAATAGTGTTGATCAGTGCAGTATTCAAAATGAAAAGAAAGACATAGCTATAAAGCATGAACTCCCAGTGGAAAGGCTTTCATCCGTTAAAGTTGAGCAAGAGCCTACAGTTAAAAGTGAACCTAGTGAAGTAAAGCCATCGACAACAGTTTTGCAAAGCAAGTCCCATTCATCATCTTCGTCTTCTAGAGATAAGCGTAAATCAGACCGTTCGGATAGACATAGTTGCACGCGATGTTATAAAAGAAGTAAAATTAAAAAAACTAGCATTGGTATACAGTGTCGTAGGGATAGGAAAAATGGCCGATGTATAACACCAGTGTTGTATAAAGTTCCAAGCTTTTCAAATTTTATTCAGAAATCAAATAGTGATAACCTGAAACTTAATTTGCAATTTAAAAACTGCAAAATATTAAATAAAGCGTCTACTAAATGTGACTCTTCAGTTTTATTGCAAGGATTAAAGTACAAAGATTACATTCACATAGAAATTTATCCTAATGGTGGAGCCTCAGTAGTTCACGCGTATCAGGATGAAATCAATAATTTAACCAGTGAACAACTTCAGGAATTCGCCCAAGAATACTTTAAGGTAAATGTTTGTTACTTGATTATCTTACTGTATGAATCTTTTTGTATCTGTTTCATGAGTATGTATCAAAGAATTATACTAATAATAATTATTTTTATAGGTCGTATTCAAGGAAGATGAAAATGGTAATGCTCATCACGTAATGGGAATCGTTCACAATTCTGCATCATACATGCCAGACTTATTAGATTACATGGCTGATTTATATCCTACATTGACTGTGAAAAATGGTGTACTAGGACACAAAAGTGACATAGAAACTACGACGATGCAACAGTACAAAGAACATGTCTGTAAATCTTACAACAATGGAACTTTTAGATATGGACCTTTACATCAAATTAGCCTAGTTGGTACAGTTCACGAGGAAGTAGGAGGCTATTTCCCTGATGTTCTGCAAATGATCGAAGAAAATGTTTTTTTAAAAATGGTGATTGATTATTTTCTTATGCGTTTGCTGTGCGTGATTTAATATCAAATTTTTCTCATTCCACTAATTCCTCATTCTAACCAGTGATTACTACTTCCTTGAACAGCATGTTTCTACCTTATTATCCTGTCAAGATGTTGGCTTTTCTTGCCCAATTCCCTCAATTCCAACGAAGTAAGCTTACATTTTAACTCCGAATGGAATTGTCGATAAAATCGATTAAAAATACTTTTACAGACCATGCCCTGGGGTCCTTTATCAGCGGTGCGAATGGAGAGTCCCCAAGAATCTAACGACGGACCAATCCTGTGGGTTCGACCAGGTGAGCAGCTTGTCCCTACCGCCGAGATGAACAAGAGTCCGTGCAAACGTCGTCGCACTGGTATCAATGAGCTCCGCAACTTGCAATACCTACCACGCTCCAGCGAAGCTCGCGAGTACATGTTTGAAGATCGAACGCGTGCCCACGCGGATCACGTAGGCCACGGTCTTGATCGCATGACTACTGCTGCCGTAGGCGTCCTTAAAGCCATACATGGTGGCCAGGACTCGGAGCTTAATCGCATCACCAAAGATGTAATAGCCTTTCATGCTTCCGACTTTACTGAACTCGTGGAAAAATTACAGCTTGACTTGCATGAACCACCAATCTCACAATGCGTTCAATGGCTTGAGGACGCCAAGCTTAATCAACTGCGCAGACAGTCGATTCGCTATGCAAAGATCAACCTCTACGACAACGACATTTACTTTCTTCCGAGAAACATTGTTCATCAATTCCGAACTGTTTCCGCGGTATCCAGCATTGCCTGGCACGTAAGGTTGCAACAGTACTATCCGGAAAATCTCGATGCCACGGCTAATATCAACGCAGGTCCTAGACGTTCCTTGCAGCATCAAAAAGAAGAAAAGGTTGCCCAGGAGGTTGAAGAAGACGAACAGAAGGAAAATACGGATAGGCAGAGAATAAAAAAACGCGCGAGTGTTGACGAAGAGAAAAAGGCCAAGGAGCGAGCAGCCGAGTATCAGGGCAACCTTAAGAAATCTGATCAGCAACAGAAAGAGGCTGAAAGACAAAGACACAGAGAGCGAAAAAATGATCGTAAACAAGAAAGGAGGAAAAGATCATCAGAGAAACGAGACAGGTACTTGGGCTTGATATTAATGTTTTGCATGTCTCGAAAGTTTATTCAAATGTAATAAAAGTATTAATTTCAAATTAACAGGGATAAAAAACATCAAGACCACCACCGTAGCACCGGTAAGTCCAGTAGTAGTGGTAGTAGTAGTAATAGCCATCGCCACAGCAGTAGTAATCACGAAAGCAAGAAAAAACACGAAAATAAGTCGTCTTCATCATCGTCGACGTCGTCGGAGCATAGGCGACACAGTTCGTCAAGTAACGGTCAACATTCGTTAAAAACGGAAGCCCGCTCGTCGAGTATTGTTAGCCAAAGTATCGAAACTCTGCCTAAGACTCCTCTCCCCATAGAGATACCAAAGTCCAGCGTTGAGACTTTACGAAGCAACGGCAGTAGCAATGACGAACAGACGAGCGTAAAGCAGGACAACGTCCAGATGAAAATTGATTCAGAATTAATATCAGCTCGACAAAAGGTTGGAAAACTGTATGCCGGTCAGGTCGTGGACAAAGCTCTGGAAATTGCAGTTTATAAATCTAAAGCTGATGTACAAGAGGTGTGCCGATCGTTACGTGATGGTGTTAGTTCGGCCTCGAAGGAGATGTTGGAAAGGATTCGCAAAGAAAGTTTGGAAATTGCCGAGAAGCTGTTTAACGAAGACAGCGCGAACGTTGAAAAAACTTATAGGCTGCTCGAAACAGAAACCACTGGTGCTTTTACTTCAAAGCTCGAATGTGCCACTGAGAATGCCGTAAAAGCTTTGATTGAGATGGCAGAAGAATCCAAAGAAGAGGAAAATAATACGGATAAAAATGAGTCTGCCAAGGAAACAGAAGTTGTTGAGAAAGTTGAAATGGTGGAGGTTGATGAAGCACCTTTGTTGACATCCTCGTCGACTATTGAAAAATGTACCAAAGCTCCCTCCATGGAAAAAATAAATAGTGAGAGTGACAATAAATCCATCAATGAGGTGTCGAATGAGAAGTCGAGTCACAAAAAAAGCGAGAAGACGCACAGCAGTAGCCGAGATGACCGTAAGCACAAGGAGCACAAAAAGAGCGACCATAAGGATCGCGATCGAGACAGGAACAAAGATAAAGACAAGGACCGCACAAGGCACCACAGTAGTAGCCATAGTAGTAGTAGCTCCAGCCACCGGCACAAGGATTCAAAAAGTAAGTCTTCTTCGTCCTCGAGTAGTCATCATCGCTCTTCTCATTCATCCTCGTCCCATAAGAGCTCTTCCTCATCTTCCGAAAAAACTCAAAATACATCGGATACGTTGAGTTCTCGATCTTCGAGCAGTTCTAGTGGCCACAAGCGCAAACCTAGCTCGAGCAACTCTATCGTCAATATTAACGAAAACGAGGCTAAGAAAGCACGTGTGGAAACAACGAACGACGTATTAGTTGCAAGTAGTACGACTGACCAAATTATTCAGCTGCAGTTTCAACCTGAACCTTAGCCGCAGCAGCAAAGCGATGTCGCGAGTACGGCGACATGAATCGCCACAACATCAAACGATGCACGGCATTAGTATTTAAAAAGAATAAATAGTACAACCTTGACTTCTAAAAGTGAGATAGGAATGAATAGCTGAATATAACGATACGGTTGCTATCTCGAGTCTTGCGTTTCGCCGGGAGCGAAGCATTAATAAAAGAACAAAGAGCACATTAGCCGGCAGAGGTGAGGCAGTCGTATTTTTTTTTTTTTTTTTTTANTACTCTCGTATCATGTATTATTAATTCAGTAAAGTCAAGATTTAGGGTCAGATAATAATATATGCATTAATTTAACAATTCTACAATTGAAATTTTACATGATGCAAGTCTTTTTAATAGTTGAAAAAAGTGTTTCTTATGATTCGATCGAGCAAAGTTCTCAAAGAAGCGACAGGTGCGTTTATGTACTTTTTTCTCCAAATGTGCCCTCGATTTGGACAGGAATCCAAAAATAGAATCGGTATAAGTCTTGAATAATATCATGTTCGTTGCAACAGTATATCATATCCGGTGTATGGTGGGTATACTTAATTATTAAAGCTTTTTGAACTGCGGCTCCAAAACGAAATGAGATGAAATTAATTATTATGTTTGAGTCAGAGAAAAACAGCACGAAGAGAGAAACGACCAATAAATCTATCAAACTCAATATGTGCAGGCACTACTGGTACATATAGTTAAAATTTTTAATACACCTAGACGCTGTCTAATGAATAAGTTTTATGCTTCGCGGTGTGTGTGTGTGTGTGTGTGTGTGCACAACTCTGTATCAATATCATCATCGTCGGCCATTCTTTCGAACATCAATCGGGGTTCGGAGACTTCGGAGCAGCAAATAAGAGACTATAAATAATTGTATGTGTGCATGCTTATACGCATGAGCACGAGTATGTTGTATGTGTGCGAGGGAGTAAAAAAGAGGATAAGTATAAGACAACCACGACAATAGGTAGCTTAGTTGGTGGTTGCTTGGAGCAGTGTATAAGTTAAGTAAGTAGCAGCTGTCTGTCCTAAACAGCGGCGAGGACGCGCTGACAGAGCCTCTCCTCGTCGCACACAAATGCTCAGCCAAGAGGATGACGGGCCCCAACAACAACATCACCAACAGGATAGCTATCAGTGCTTCGAGGAGGACACAAGCAGTGCAGGCACGACTACCACTATTGGTATCGCTGACTCCTGGAGCAAGTACCGGACGGTCGATAGCACTGGCAACGTCAGTCCCAGTAAGCCTTACATTATTTATGAGTCTTTATTATTGATGCACTTCCTTTGGGTTTAAAAATTAAGCATCATACATGTTCATTTTTACTATTATTATCATTGAATAAAGGCAGGTTGTGTTACTCATGCGTACACGTGTATATTGGAATTGAAACGACAAAAAATTTGTGTACATTTGTAAATATCAGTCTCGGTTCGAAAATAATAAAAAACTGAAACATCAGTAAAAACAAATATGTAAAGAGAATTAAAACAAGATGAGTAAATTACCATACAAAAAGTGACGATTAACGTCTTAAAGCATGTGACGAATTTCGCCCCTTGTTGGTAAAACTACAAGTTGAAGAGAAAATTCATAAAAAATTTATCTTTATATTTGCGTAAAAACTGCTGCTGGACGTTGATTCTTATAAGATTGACAATTGTACACATTCTCATAAAACTGTAAATACTTTTAAATCGTATCTTTTAATCAATTCAGTTTAATATAAGTACTTTTATTTAAAAATCTCAATGCAAAATTTAATTCAGGTGTTAAAGCTTGAGAGTGTTTACATTTGTCAAGGTGAAATAGAAGTGTATATTACGATAAACTGAGTTCGAATACTATACATGATATATTACGTTGATCGAAAAAAATTCATAACTCAAATATATATATACATATATAAATATACATATAGTAGAATATAGTTTTACATATTGTACCCGTCTCACGTGTAGAGTCGCATTCCAGCTAGGTTAAAACAAAATAATAAAAATTACTTTTATCGAGCACACTTAATCTGTTTTCATGTCATTTTTGAAGAGTATTTTATTCATTATCCACACTTGTTCTCTTACTTATCTAAAATATTGTAATTTAATTCGAAACAAAAGGTTGCGAGATCAACCCGAGCTTTTTTATTATTTAAAACTATACATCTTTTTTATAAAAAAAATAAAACAAATTAAGTAAAAAGTATGCTTTAACTAATATTGAACAAATAGAGTGTAATATTATCATTATTATTAATTATTATTATTATTATTATTACGTTATCAGGATAAAATTTTAAGCTTGTACCTGCAAAATTGTTAGTATAATACGATTAAAAAAAAACATTATTTACACTTCAAAAAAACATTTGTTTCATTTACCTTGCACATTTATTTTCCCAGGCTTTTTACCATTGCAAAAAATTCCTTCAAAAAGACAGTTCAACTTTTGACAACAATTAGCCCACATACTTAATACTGACAAGCTCGTAAGAAAAGCAACAGTCAGATTTATATCTTTTTAAATGTACAGTTTCTCATTGTATTTTTTCTGGTCAAATTTTAATGTCAAAGAGGATAGTTCTTGTCATTCATTGACCCGCACGTATTTTATTTTATTTCTAATAAAA